AGAGTCCCCCTTTCGGTTGGATTTCCACATTATTAAAAAACCTAAGAACTATTCTAGAGAGATTGAAACCAACTGCAATTTTGCCAATGCCTATGTAGTGAAATTTGCATTTTTTTCTTTTTTTTTAGCTAATATCTTATTATCTTAAAATAAAATAAAAAATAAAAAATAAAAATAAAAATAAGAATCAAAATAAATAAAATAACAAATAATTGGGCCTAATTATTGCTCTGTTGAATCAAGCCCAATGAACTTAGGCCTAGACCAATTAGAATATCTACAATATATAATATTATTAGTGTTAAAAAATTTATATAAATAAAATATTGAAAGGTCTATATTGGCATAATAAATACATGGCTATATTTAACATATTCACCTTTTTTATAACGTTGGAAAGTCGAGTTTTGATTTTTATGGAATATTTAAGAATATTATGTAATTTCAAAAAATTAAGGTAAAGCAAATTGTTTTTTTTTTTTTTTCAATTCAAAAACTTAATTGTCAAAAACTACTTGTTTAAAAATTTGAAATTTTATATATGTGTTATCAATGGAACAAGTGTATCTATCATTATTTTTTGTAATATAATATTCTTTCAAAATTTAATATAATTACAATTTTAGAAAAACAATTTAAATTTTATTCTCATGATTACAAATATATTTATAATAGCTGCTAAAAAACATAGGTCACCCTAAATAATTTTTTATCATCATTTTATTTACAAAAGAAGTATCAAATAATGTCGCTATTTACAATTTAATAGATAATTTTGATTTGATTATTAAAAATAAAATTATAAAGTACAAAACAAAAAGTGTGATATAAATCTTTTTTCTTAATCAAAAAGATACTTTTATTCATAAAACTAAATATTTCAAAACTTAAGAATCTAACTTTTATTCATAAAACTAAATATTTCAAAACTTAAGAATCTAACAAGAGAAAGTTTCAATACATAAATAGAAAAATAATTGTAATGACACATAACAATACATACAATCTAATTTCTAACAAAAAAAATTAATAATACACACAATCTAACTCCCTTTGAGTCTACTACTAATAGGTATAAAATAAGTATTTATTTTTACTTCCATCTTTGTTAAAGAACCATCAATATAGTTTGCTTCCCTAAAGGAATGGATAAAATCAATAATTCCATTTTTGCTTATAAAAATTAAAAGCTCCTCACTCTTCCAAGGTTATTAATTTGCATTGAATATCTAAGATATAATTGTCACTTTAATTTAAATATCATATATATATACATTCAGCTAATTTTAATGAGACATTAAAATAATTAATTAAATAAAGTTATATATTTAAAAAAATCAATATGAAAATAAAATTTTATATTAATTGTAAGTCTTTTTTTGTAATATTAATATATTAAATTTTAAACTTAATTATACGTTTTTTTTTAATTGATGAAAGAGTTGTATTAACAAATATATATATCTTATATTCTAAAGGATTTGAACTTACATTAAAACTAAACTGACATTTTTATTTAGACATCGTATGCATGTTTTTATTACGAATTAGTGGCATATCAATATGGCATTTTGAAATGTCTATCTAATTAAAAAGGAAATTGAATTAAGAATGTTTATCTAAAAAATAAAATATAAAAGAATATAGAAAATTGAGTATAAGAGTTTTAATTGTAGTTTGAGTATTTCTAAAATTTTAAAACTTGTTAAATGAAATAAACGAAAAATTCATAAAATTGAGGATTTTGTTCCATTTTAATAAGATTAGTAAAAATTACAAACTAACATCTTTTACATCATTTTAAAGTTTCATTCACTAAAAACTTAAAAAATAAATTTTCTATTTTCTATTGAAACTAAGAAATATTTAGAGAGGTTATAATTAACTATATCATTTTAGGTAGATTTGACTTACAATACAATATCTAAGAATCTTTATAATTTGATTCTCAACCAATGCATAGTCTTAGGTATGGTAGCATCAAAATTAATTAATAGTCATTGGCATCTAGTTGTGAAACCTTGCCAATCAACATAATCTTATTGAGTAACCGCCCAAAATAAAATAAAAAAGCCTATGTTAACTAATACCTCACAAAAGAAAAGAATTCTCTAGTAACATCACATGCAACATATATATAGAAAATATTAAATATTTACCTTTAAATTATAAATTATAAAAGAAAAAATTATACTAAAATATACAATTGATAAAATTATTATTCTAAAAATAAAACCTAATAATTGCATAAACAAAAAATATAAGTAAAATCTCAATAAACTTATAAAAGAATAACAAGTAAGATTACAAAATAAATTTCTTATAAGATAATAGAAGTAAAATTGTAGTACCACAAAATTGAAAAATAGTCAAATTCGATTTACTTAAAATTCTTTTTGAAAAAACATTTGTTTTTATATTGCTATAAGACACATTATCATAAATTTATTAAAAAGTTAAGCAAGTAAGATTACAAAATAAATTTCTTATAAGATAATAGAAATAAAATTGTAGTAAAATAAAATTGAAAAATAGTCAAATTCGATTTACTTAAAATTCTCTTTGAAAAAACATTTGTATTTATATTGTTGTAAGACACATTATCATAAATTTATTAAAAAGTTACTATCATTAACCGTATAATGTAATAAGTAATAAAAAATATGTAAGTAATGTGATTTTTCCATTAAAATTACAAATTTTGCATAATTTGTATTTTTTAATGATATCATTAATATTTCCTAATTTAATGATATTTAAATGCTTAATTTATCTTTCCTTATTTATTACATTAAATTTCATTGAACTTATCATGAGTAATTAAAAAATATGAAAATATATTCATAAATAGTTAACTTTTTATTTAGTTTCTATTTTAATTTGTATTATTGACCAAATTAATTGTAACTTATTCGTATAAGGTAAAAATATTGGATATTTAAAAGGTAATAAATGTAATTAATTTACTCAAACTAATTATTTTTTAAGTAATAAAACTATAAAAAAATAATAAAAATGTTTTAAGTAAATAAAATGTATTTCTTATAGAATATATGATGATTTTTTAAACTCATCCACATGTCAAAAATGTAAATTATCTAAGATGGACTATTTCTTTTTTTATTAAAAGCTTTAACTTTTATCTATTTATATAAGAAGTGAAGTGACATATAAAATTAACAATAATTGATATTACCTATTTAATATGTTAATTAAAACTTTTTTCATCTCAAAATTAATTGTAATTATTTTATATTATAAATTTTTATATTTCAAATTAATATTCAATGTAACAAGTTCAATAAATAATTTGTGTGATTTCTTTGTTTTAATTTCCATATATAATAATATTTTGATTTTTAATAGATTAGTTTTATTTTTTAATTAAGATATTTTTAGGTAATTTATACTATAAAACTTAGTTTACCTATCAATAAATAAATTTAAATTAATAATAAATTAATTATATTTTATTATGAAGTAAACAAAATATTACTAATATTTTATAAATTATTATTTTTAAATAACGTTGAAATTATTAACTTGTATAGTTATTTTAATATGTATGCATGGTTATTTTGCTATTTTCAAACAAAATAATATTTTTTTTAGTAATACTAAATACATTGATATTTAATTATTAAAAATTAATAATTTTTAATTAAATAAAATGATTATAGATCACGAGTAATAAGATTATTTTAATAATAAAATTATTTCAATAATTAAATTATTATAATAACCTTAAAAATAATACCTAATGTTTTCTTAGAGAATTTTATTTTCTTTAATTTTAAAGGGAAGTCAATTATTAAAATTTTTTTTTATCATATAAAAATTTGCCCTAAAATTCCTATTAGGAGTGCTGGATTGATTTAAAACTTGAACTTAATCAAACATTTTTTTTTCAAATTGAATATTTTAGCTTTATAATATCATTAAAAAAAAAAACCAAAGAAGCAATCTAAATAATATTTATTTTTGATAGAAAATGAAATATGTAAGTCATATTCGTTGCAATCAACATTTTTTTTTCTTTCTCAACAGAATCTCAAGAGTATTTCATTATTCTTCAAATTCTTTCAAAATTTTGATCAGTGGATAAAGTAAAAATACGTTTACAGCCACTTTTTCGTTATTAAAATAATAATAAATTTTCATGAACGAAATGATATTCTTGTAAAAATTATCTCAAAATCTTTAATTTGATAGTTAAAAATATTTGAAAAGACATGAAAATTTTAATTTTGAATCAAAATTTTTTTTATTTATATTAAAATTTTATCTTTATGATATAACAAAAAAAGATATTTTTATAAAAATGATAAATTTTATTAAATTAGAATATTCTCTCCAAAAATCAGGATTTTTTTTTATCATATTCTAGAAAGAATATTTTACTGTTACCCTAATTGACGTTACGTTAATTTGGTTATGACAATGATATAAAATCAGTAATTATATCAGAAAAAAAGTGCAACATGCAACTCAGTCCTTAAATTAAAAAAAAAAAAAACTGAAAGAAAAAAAAAAGAAATTAATGTCGGCAATCGGCATAGAACCCTAAATATTCAAATAATTCGGCTATTACTTTTAGACTTTTGAAGTTTTTGACACTAATAGTAAGTAGTGTAGTACAAAATTTTCAATATATATATATAATAAAGAGAACAATAATTTGCATAAAATAATGCACACTCAGGCTGTAAGAAAATAATATTTCTGACATAAGTAGAACATATCTGTTGGAGGAACATTAAGAATAATACTTTATGAGGAATGATACTGCTAATATTAAATTTTTAATATCAAAAATAATAATGTATGGTACAAAAAAATACTAAAAAACAAAAAAAAAAAAGGAAGAATATGATACTTACCGAATTAAAAAATAAATGGTTATTGAATAATACGGATAATAATTTAATAAAGGAATAGTAGTAAATGAAGCGTGTTCGGTCTGCTATCATCTTTCTCAAAAAAGGCTGACTATAAAGAGCGTTCAAAGGCAAACCCAAATTTTATGCACAAAAAGGCCTGGTTCCGTGAAGTTGCAGTCAACCAACCCTCAACTCCTAACTTTGCCCTGATTCCCAAACAATTTTTTAGGAACCCCAAAAAAAAAAAAAAATCCAAGAATGTGCTAGAGAATTGAGAAAAGCGTGAAAGAATATAAAAGATTCATTTTTTTTTTTCAATATTCCAAGTTGATTGAAAAGTCTTATTCGAAAAAAATCCGTTTCTCAAGAATCTAACCCAACCAATTTCCTTACATTGTTTAGCGGTTTTACGGTATTTTAGAGCCTTGTCTTTTTTGTTTTTTGTTTTTGGGTTTGTTTAGAACCTTAAAAATCTACAACCATGTCGCAGACTAACTGGGAAGCCGATAAAATGTAAGTTTTTTTTTTTTTTTTTAAATTTTGTGTGTGTGTGTGTGTTTTGTTTACTAGGGTTTTCTTTTTATTTCATTGTTTTTCTTTTCTTTTTTTTTTTTTACTTGTGTCTTTTTGCTTAGGGTTTTTGAAAATTTTTTAATGGAAGGGTTTTTTGAGCTATAACTTCATTATTTAATGGGCTTTTAGTGAAAGTTTCCATTTTGTTCATTGATTTTTTTTTTTTTCATTTGTTTGGTACTTAGAATTATTATATACTGATTTAGGATTTTCTTTGGAGGGCAAGAAAAATGGTTTTTCTTTTTTCTCTTTTACTGCTCCCATTTTATATTTTGCCAACTTTGTTATTAAAAAAAGCTTCTTAAAATTGTTTTCTTACACTCTTTTGAATGAAAGAATGCAAAATTTAAATGTAGCAATGGAATAGAGCACTCTGTTTTTCTTTTTCTTTTTAAATGTTTTGGAATTCAAATGAAAGGTTTTGGAAATTTCTAGCTTTATGTAGTGGTATATTTTTTGGCTGATGAAGGGTTTTCTATGAATTAAGGTTTAATGTTCTGCGTTAAAAAAATACTAATTTTACTGTTGTTTATATTCTTATTGCTTAATGTTTAATGGTTGTGATGGGTGTTTATATTTCTCTCTGAGAATAGGTTGGATGTGTATATATATGATTATTTGATGAAGAGAAATTTAAATGCTACTGCTAAGGCATTTCAAGCTGAAGGGAAAGTATCCACTGATCCAGTAGGTAGGGTGAAAGAAGAAAGAAACTTGTAAATAAAGATAGCAGTGATATAGATGGTAAGATTTTAATTTTCCTTTTAAGAACTTAATTGATTCTGAAAAATTTTTTTATGTGTTTTCCAGCTATTGATGCACCCGGGGGTTTTTTATTTGAGTGGTGGTCTGTATTTTGGGATATTTTCATTGCGAGGACAAATGAGAAGCATTCAGAAGCTGCTGCATCTTATATTGAGGTATGTTTGTGGGCTGTTTTTGGTGGTGGTTGGTAGTAGTAAGGGGACTCTTACCAGCATGTTGCCTTTATTTTTGGTTTTCAAGCTGTGTATGCTGGCCTACTTGTCACGATTAAGCTCTCTTTAGTCTCTAGCATATAGTTTATTGCAATTGTTTCTGGAAAGAGGAACTCACTGCATGTTTGAAAGACTTGGGTTGGATATATGCTTTTAATTGATGCTACTATATTTTCTTCTCTGGTATTTGCTTCCATCATTTCACTTTTCTAACTTTTTGTTTGGGATGGGAGTTCAAATAAGTGAAGAGTCAAACAAAAGGATAGTTTTACTGAGCAAAAGTTAGAATGTATTAGACTTAAATAGTGGATTTTCAAGTAATATATTTTCTTTGGCTTTTTTTATTCGGTCTCAAGAATTATTGGTGTCCTTGGGCACTGAATCTACTAGAGATTGAGACTGTAAATGCATTTGACTCCTCTATTGAACAAAATTTTTGTGCAATGTGCAATAGATCATATATTATTGGAAGTTTTGTTTGAAAAATCTTCATTCAAGTCATTAGTCATTTTGCAATTGCTTTTTTGAGGAGTTAGTTGAGCAAGTTTGCTGTTTAATTAAAATTTTTAAGACTGGCAGAATCAAATGGTCAAGGCTCGAGAGCTGCAGCAACAGCAACATTATCAGAAGCCTCAGCAGATGCAGATGCAACAGGTCTTATTGCAGAGGCATGCTCAGCAGCAGCAGCAGCAGCAGCAGCAGCAGCAACAGCAGCAGCAACAACAACAACAACAGCAGCAGCAGCTGCTGCTGCAGCAGCAAAGAGAAGGGACTCAGTTATTAAATGGTGCTGCCAATGGGCTTGTTGGTGAACCTCTCATGAAAGAGAACGCTGCAGGTGCAATTTCTGCCACAAGAAAGATGTATGATGAGAATTCTAGGTTTCCACGGCAGAGGGATTCATTGGGTGATGCAGCTGTGAAGGTACCTAGTTCACATTAGCTTGATAGGAAACAATACCACCCTTTTTTCTCCCCTTGTCGCATTTTTTACATCAGATAAGTTTGCAGCAATTAGGTGATAATGTGGGCCAGCTTCTGGATCCGAATCAAGCCTCAATGATGAAAGCAGCCTCAATGGGTGGCCAGCCTTTGGGGTACTTCTCATGTGGTCTTTTTGTTTAAGAAGATCATGTATTGCTTTCCTTATTTGCTTTATCATGTTTGTGATGTGTAAAAACTGTTAGTGATTAAACTCCACTCCTCCTTACAGGCAAACACCGCATGGCACATCTGGAAATATATCAGGTACTCTTCAGCAAATCCAAAATCGAGGTCAACAGATTCCAATGCCCACTCAGGTACTTCATTTTCATTTTATCCTTTTTTTGTGTATATTTTAAAATTTTTAATTGCAGTTTTTTTCCTTTTAAATAATTTTGTTTGTGTTATAATTGTATGCTGATACAGGATTCAAAGAGTGAGATCAGTCCAATGTTGACTCCAAGAGCTGCTGGTCCTGATGGATCGTTAATTGGAGTCCATGGTATTTTTTTTACCTCAAGAGAGTTGTTTCTTTATTTAGACTTTCTTGCCAGTGTTTAAATATGATACTACAACCTTAAAAATAAGAAAATATCTAACTTCCATGTCATGCTAGGTTGGCTGGAGATTTATTTCAAGAGAAGATATTTCTTTATTCTTAACAAACTGGACCAATCACTTTACTTGAAATGACCCCTGTAACACGATATGGCATTGGTGAGAGGATATACGTATTGGAAGGTTGAAAGTATCAAGAAACCTTCTAAGTAATAGAAGTCATTGGATGTGAAACAACCATATGAGGTATTGATGCGGAGTGTGTTTGATGTAGATAAGAAGAAGTAACCTTAGTTATTGATCCCATTGTCTGAAGATATTGCTAGAAATTTATTACCTATTAAATGAACAATTTTGTTTGAATAGGGTTGAAGATTTTGGGTTTTACTTTTAACTTGGTTTGATTGTCTCCGTCACTTGTCATAGGACCTTGTTTCAGCAGGACCTGCACTAGCTTCCTCTAACCTTTTAAATTGGTAAACAAATGTTAATTGCCACTTGGTTATCTCATTGCTATAGTTGTAAAATCACATGTGAATTAGTAAAATACTTTTAAGTGTCATTATTCACATTGCTTTCAATAAGATTTTAAGATATGAATTATTGGTTTTATTAACTTATATTGTTCTTAAGGATCAAATCAAGCTGGTGGCAATTTGACATTGAAAGGATGGCCTTTAGCGGTAAGTCTTTTGACCTACAATTGATATGAAATTGGTATTTCCTCAATATTCCCAGTTTCACTTGCTCAGTGCAAATGAACAGTAATTGGTTCAATGTTTAATGATATTTACAAAAATTAGGAGCCATTTACTGGCTGGGTTGTGAAGACAATGAATGTGTTTGCTAAATGTAAAATACTGATGGAATAAGTTATGTTTGGTAAATACGTTGAATAATTCATTTGTTGATAGGATGCATGTATCTTGTCCTGAATAAAACAGATGTTTAAGCCGCATTTTCTGATTTCCTGTAACTAATTTCCAGTGCATTGGATTTTTTTTTTTGTACTTCAAGATAACTTTCTCTATTCTGCTTACAAAGAAATTAACTGTCTTGGTCGAAGAGTTTGTATGGATATGTGGACAAACCCTCAATATTATGGCTTATGGATAACTGCTTAAATAACTTTGTCAAAAGGATATAGGAACAAGGTTAATTTATCTGTAGAATTGTAGAGTTCACTGTGAAATAATTCCTCTTCTTTTTAAATCTATCCCATGGAAAGTAAAGTGGAGCAGAACAACCTAGATAATTGAATCATTTGTCTATGGTTGAGATCTGACAATAATTGTTGACACTGCTGCACTAAATCTGAATCAGGTTTGATTTGTGGTTTCGTTGTTCAAATTTGATGTATAGTAGTAGGAATAAGGCTTGCAAGATTGATATACAGGTTTCCTTGTCTAATAGTATCTTATCAATTGTAGGGACTGGACCAAATTCGATCTGGGTTTCTCCAGCAGCAGAAATCTATGATTCAATCATCTCAGCCCTTCAATCAGCTTCAGTTACAGCAACAACTTCTTCTTCAAGCACAGCAAAACTTGTCATACCCATCAAATGATTTGGAATGCAGAAAATTGCGAATGCTTCTGAACAATCAGATTATGGGTCTAGGAAGGGATGGCCAGCTAAATTCTCTTGGCGATGTGGTTCCCAAAGTTGGATCACCTAAAGTTGGTTGTCCTGCACTGCCTCGTGGAGACGCCGATATGTCAGTTAAGGTATATTTATCTGTATTGCACATCAATTAACAATGATTATTATTATTTGAGGCTGTTGCAGCTTCCTCACTCTTGATTCATGGTGTTCAATATCTCTCAGTTACAGCAGCAACAACTGCATCACAATAATCTACAGTCACAACAATTTGCACAGCATCCACTTTCAAGTCAGCAGCCTCAGAATTCAAGTCACCAACTCCAGCAGCAAGATAAAATGATTGGTGCCTCCAGTATGATGCCTGATAGTAGCATATCAAACACCTTTCAGGGAAATGACCAGGTTTAACATTTACTAGGATTTGGCTTTTAATTATGCCATCTAAAAGTTGTTCTATTCTTCTCTTTTTTTTTTTAATTTTCCTTTGTTATTTTTTTTTTGCTTTAAGTGTTTAGATTCTTCATTCTCCAAAAATATGAAAATGTTTTAAAAGATTTACGTTATATTAATACATTCTGACCTTTAGATTCTTTCTGATTTATCTCATGGTCTGGATTACTATAGCCACGGCATTTTTACCTGCATGACCACATTCTCTGATTTCTATTTGGTTGTTACTTGATTTGGGTCAGCATTTCTGACTTTGTGTTGCATCTTTTCTTAAGGCTTCAAAAAATCAAGTTGGCCGAAAGAGGAAGCAGCCAGGGTCATCTTCAGGTCCGGTCAATAGCTCAGGAACTGCAAACACCACTGGACCATCTCCGAGTTCACCTTCGTCACCATCTACTCACACACCAGGAGATGCTGTTTCAATGCCCACTTTGCCACATAATAGTGGTTCCTCCAAGTCTTTGCGTATGTTTGGCTCTGATGGTTTGGGTTCCCTTACATCAGCTCCTAATCAGCTGGTAAAGCTTCTATCCATCTTTTGATGAACATCATGTCTTGTCTTAGTATTTATTTAGTTTTTATCTTTTTTTTTTTTTGCAATGATAAATCTAGATTTTTTGGCCCTTCAACTTCTATAGATAGTTCGTTGAGCATATGAGTTAGCAAATTGAGTGTATAATTTAGATTCTCCTGAGAGGAATCAGGAAATATAATTTAGAATCTCCTAAGCGGTGAAAAAGTATATGAAGAAGGCAATATAGTGAAGTTATAGCTATTTTAGATAGGCTCTTTAACTTTAAGAATCAGTGCTAGGTAAATAACTTGATTTTAGACCAAATGCCAGAGTAAGCCAAATCACTAAAAACTGACAATCTACATGTTTCTAGCCTTTATGTCTTACTGAGCTACATAAGATATTGGGATTTTGTTATTCCCTGGATTGGATGCATCCATTGGAAGAAATTTACAAACTTCATGCATGTTATTTTCATTGATGTTCCATTCTGCAGTGGGATAACTTGAGATAGTAAATCACAGGCTGATATAGACCGTTTCGTGGATGATGGGGCTCTAGATGATAATGTGGAGTCATTCTTATCTCATGATGATCCAGAGCCTACAGATAGAGTTGGTCGTTGTGGTGATGTCAGCAAAGGTACAGTTAATGTTGATATTTAATTATTGGTGGAATGTGTGCCCACGCCAACAAATCAGCAAGTTCTTACAATTAGAGAAATACATATGGATTTAATAATATTGTAATGTCAGGCTTTACATTTACGGAAATTCGGCTTATCCCTGCTAGTACAAGTAAAGTAGAATGTTGTCACTTCTCAGCAGACGGGAAGTTGCTTGCTACTGGTGGCCATGATAAAAAGGTTCAGGGTGACTTGATTTAATTTACGAACTGCTCTGTTATTAAATTATGTAAACCTTTTTTTTTTTTTTTTTTGTGTTGATAGCCAAACTTCAGTGCTATTATAGTTGAAGTTTTAAATCTTTCTAGAGAAATGAAATAAAAAATTTTGCTTGATGATATCTCGTGCAGGCTGTTCTGTGGTGCACAGAGTCTTTTGCAGTTAAGTCAACACTTGAAGAACATTCTCAATGGATAACTGATGTCCGCTTCAGTCCAAGTATGTCAAGGCTTGCTACTTCTTCAGCTGACAGAACAGTTAGGATCTGGGATGCTGATAATGTTAGTAAGCATACTTTTTGTTTATCATGGCATGTCTCATCCTGAACACTGTTGCAATTACATTGTTGCCTGGACTTTAATAGATTAAGTTTTTTAACTGCTTCAGAAATGACCGATTCTGCTGTGCATTTTGGTTACCTAATACTTCAGAAACTGCTTGAAGTATGCAGTTACTGTATGACCTACTTTTCGGAATCAGAACTTCTTTATGATTTGCTTTTCAAAACATAAGTTCATCTCAAAACAATATTGATTGCTAGGCATTGAAAATATAAAAAATAAGTCACTATTGCAGCGAATAGTAGATTTCTTAAGGAGCTTTGTGTAGCCAATCCCTACTCATTGAAGGCTTTGTTAGTTGAGTCATGATGAAAATTGGTTTCTAGGAAGAATCTGAAAGTAATTTTTTTTTATGGATAATTTTGGTGTCGGAATTATGCCAATGAAGTTCTCTCCAAATTTTCCTGATTTGTGGATGCATGATTCTATTCTGCAGCCTGGATATTCACTTCGCAATTTTGTGGGACATTCTACAACTGTTACATCAGTTGACTTTCACCCTATCAAAGAGGACCTTATCTGCTCCTGTGATAATAATAGTGAGATTCGATATTGGAGTATCAAGAATGGTAGTTGTGCTGGAGTTTTAAAGGTATATAGCCTTTTGATTTATTCTCAAGAAATGTTATGTACAATGCCCCATCACTATGTTCTGTTTTTCTTTTGCAAGTCCTATTTTTACCATTAGTATCTTTTTTTTTTCCTTTTTGTCAGGGCGGTGCTAACCAGGTGAGATTTCAGCCCCATGTTGGAAGGTTTCTTGCAGCTGCAGCAGATAATTATGTTTCCATACTTGACGTAGAGACCCAAGTTTGCAGGTTCAAATTACAGGTCAGTTGGGAATTTGCTAGTTGTTTGTTCATTCCTTTTTGGCATTTTGTAACCTACAAGCTAAATGGGTGGGATACACTTGCACTCTAGCTTTGTTGCATAAAGAACAAGAAAATTAAGTGATCATGATGTTTGGAGATCATAGTTTTTTGCGTGTCTGTTGGCAGGTGCAAGGCCTTTGGAGAAGTCTTGACAAGAAAGAATGTAGTTTTTTTTTTTTGAGAAAAAGAATGTAGTGTTTTGAATGTGGGACGGCTTCTTTGCCAGGAACCTTTTAACAGGCTTTATAGGAATACTTGTCCACATGTTCTAAAACTTACCTTCTTTGTCCTCTTTTTGTACCTCCATGGTGCATAAACTTTTCTGTTCAGAGGTTTGACTTAAATGATTTAGCATCCTCTGGTTTTCTCCATCTATGCTGCTATTTCATATGGTCTTTCTTAACTAACAAATCCGCTGAACAGAAACAGAGATTGTATTTTTTTTTTCTGAATCTTATGGCTTTGGATATGGAACCACAAAGATATTGTGAAAATATCAATTTAGAGTATATGAATTATCTTGTAGTTTTGCTGTCAAATATTTCTATCATATCTCTTTGCTTTAATTTTCTTTTCTTCTTTTTTTCTATGATATTTTAAATGGAGTACTGTCTTTTGCCCTGAAAATTGACATGGATTAATTCTCAATGTTGACTGTTGTTTTCATCGCATCAACTGTCATTGCAGGGCCATAAAAATGTCGTCCATTCTGTGTGCTGGAACCCTACAGGTGAGTTTGTGGCATCTGTAAGTGATGACTTGGTGAGAGTATGGACGGTTGGATCTGTTGGCAAAGGGGAATGTGTTCATGAATTAAACAGCACTGGCAACAAATTTAACTCTTGTGTTTTTCATCCTAATTATCCTTCCCTGTTGGTTGTTGGCTGTTACGAGGTGAGTGCTACTATTGCTGTTTCAACTTTGATTAGCTCCATAGTATTATGAGGTCTCATACCTCGGTTGTCACCGATGTTGCTTGAACTCTTCATTTTCCTTGAAGCATCCATGTCTGACTCATCCTACAGACATGTTATTGGAGGTCCAACCCTCCGAATATATTAATTTAAAAAAAGAATTGAGCATGCCTATGTTGGAAACATACTTGTATCTGACACGCATCCCTGAGTCTGAGACAATGTCATGTTTTTAAATTGTGGTAGGTTTATGGCATTGTACTGCCAATGTTCTATGCTAAATGCATAGCCATTGTTTAGTTTCTTTCCAATTTTTCTTAATGCAAGCTGCTGATTATTGTTTTGCTTATGACACGGAATGACGGTGTTCACTAGAATCTGGAGCTTTGGGACATGGTTGAAAATAAGACGTTGATATTACATGCACATGAGAAGCTAGTCTCTGGCTTGGCAGCGTCAAATGCCACCGGTATGGTAGCCTCAGCTAGTCATGACAAGTGTGTGAAGCTCTGGAAGTGATCGTCTCCCTCGTTTGGTCCACTTTACTGTTAATGGTATAGTTTCTTCACTATATGTAGATGCCGATAACAAGTTTTTCTGACAGGTCTTTTGTACTTGTTCATGTCAACATTTTTATTAAGCATGAAAAGGGGTCTTAGAATTTGGTGCACTGCCAGTCTCGGTTAACTTCGGGATTTCACGTCTTTTTGTCAAAGCCTAATGTTGTTGGATCAAAATGAAACACAGTGAAAGATGTCCAGCACTTGCACCAATGCATCGTCAATGCAAGTCCTTTCTCATTACTTTTATCTCCACATTAACTTTAGAAGATTACGAAGCTTATTTATTTATTTATTTATTATTATTTAACCTTAATTGTTATTGAAAAAATTGTTCAACCTTTAAGAAGGTAGGGTTAAAACAGTTTTTTTTTTTTTTTTTTTTTGCGGCAGGACACGGGATTTTTTCAGCTTTATTCATTACATTCTTTTCGAGACTGATAGATCAAGTAGATTGATCTGCATTCTGTTTTAACGAATTTATAAAAAATTAATTTTTTTAGATTCGAATCTAAACAACAAAGAGATGAATACATTGAATGATGAAACAGATTATCTTATTCCTAACATGATTTTCTAACGTATATGGAAGTGTATGGTTTTGTTGGTAAGGTGTTAATTGTTGTAATTTGTTTATAGAATGTTAAATTTTAAGTTTGATTAAGATTTAAGCCTTGATAAAAACATTGATATCTTTAAATATCAATATTATATTTTAGCATTATCATGTGTTTTTTTTCTTGTACCAAAATTGCGTGCGTGAAATATAACTTGAATTCAAAGTCATTTAAACGGTGTAGATTTTCTTCTTTACAAAATTAATTTTCAAATTTGGAGCTTTGACACCACGGCCTTATTGGGCTACAGACTTAAGCGACGAACATTGGCGTTGCAATATTTAGTTCATGTTCGAACAGATTTCGTTACTTGATATTTATTGTAGGTCTCATGAGCTATTTGAATCCAATTCATCGACCTTGAGGAGCACCTTTCAACCAAGATTTTGATAATTTCATTCATCCCCTCCAACTTGAACATATCATTATTATACTACAATTATAGGATGACAACCTTGTTACCCTCCTGAAGTTGTCTTGTAGCACATCTTTTTCTTATATTCTTTTGTTTGTTTTAATTTTTTTATTGGGTTTTATGAGTTTGTATTTTCGTATTAACTTTCATGTTCAACAAATTTAAATAATCAATGAAAATTGCACTTGACAAATGATTAAGATATGATTTTTTATATTTTTTGTTTTTTTTTTTTGGAAAGTTCATGTTATTTTATATACAAGTCTTCAATTTTCATCATTTGTAGGTTTCTTTTATATAAAATGGAAAAAGAAAGATTAAGTGCACAAATATTTTCGTCAAATTACTATAATTTTAAGGATAAAAAATGGGGAAAAAAAAAAGAGGCATAGATTGAACAATGGGATGCATAGGAGGGAAGAATTTTCACTGGACCCAAAAAGTCTCTGACCTAAGGGGTGTGATACGGTGCGAAGGACTCCACCACACCACATTGATGTTGCCTAAACATTATTTTCAATACATTGGACTCGAGGAATCCAAATACAACCTAAAAAAACAACCCCTGGTGATGAAACGCAAGTGAAATTCTAGTTTATTATAAAAAAAAAAAAAAGAGAAAAAAAATACTTTAACCATGAAGGAAAGAATTCTAGGAAGCTAAAACGTAAACTTTTGATGTTTCTATCATCCAGCAACCACCGATTCTTTCTATCATCCACAGACTAATTTACTATTAATCAGGTCATATAAAATATGAAAATATAACAGTGCCGAAAAATATAGCTATTGTTGTCTGTTCTACACTTCAAATAAGAATAAAAATTTTCACTATCCACCATAAACAGAATAGAATGTTCCTATACAGATTTTTCTGCTTCCATGTTTAAGAGAAAACTAACATATTAATTGTCAATGCATGAGATACAAATGCATACTCCATATCTAGTCCAGACTGGTTTATTGTTAGCATACAGATCAAACCTTTGTCATCTCCTCTGGAAGTTCAAGGCTTTTATTGCAAAAGCGAAAATCAATGCGAAAAACATTACAAAAAAAGCCACCATAACAGCTGCTACACCCAAGAAATCATGCCTATACCCGAATACCTCCTTGAGTAACTGCCGCGTAGGCACGGAGTGAACTCCATCGGATAATTTCACCAGCCTTTCATCACCCGCATACTGTGAAATCACAAGGCCATACAAACTCCAGGCCATGGGATCTGCCCAGTAATACCATCTCCACCATATAGGGATTCTCTGGAAAATTAGACAACCGAGTCATTACAATAAACATGAAGGAAACCCAACCAGTAATTATAACTCCACTCAGCCTATTTTGAGTACTCAAGTTTAAGAAAACTTTTTGTCAGATAGCTATGCTGCATACCTTATTATTATTATGGTATCGCATACCTTGTTATTAGACAATATCTCTCAAAAATCCATTAGTGTCAATGAAATAATTGAGAGATACATGATTGCATGCTGTGTCAATTTAATTACAGACATAGGATATAACAGGAATGCATAGCAGATTAAGGAGGATGAAGGGTTAAGAAAGCCGCTGGTTCATTACCTTGTGGGGAATCATAAAGCCGCTGAAAAGGTTCCAAAGCATATAAAATGGAGCAGCAATGATAGCAGCCACATTGTGATTTGGTGTGATAGCAGTCGTCATCATTCCATAAAAGGTGAAATATAACAAAGTAGAGTACATAAAGAATATGTACCAAATAAATTTCAAAGCAGTCCACTCAAATGAGGCCATAGAGTAGAAAACTGAACAGTAGATTACCGATTGTGCAAATACATAAGGGAACTCTATGGCAACCTGCAAAGAAAACGGAATGAATCAGCTAATATCTAGAAAATTAAAGGGCGCATAGTTTCTACTCATGTCTAATGCTGAAAATGGAAGGTAGACCTGAGCAAATGCAAAGGCTACGCCTGAATACATTCCTGCAGCTCTTTCTCTATAGGAAACAAATCTCTCAATAGAAACAACAGATTGAACAGCTGTCCCATTTGTAATACCAATGAAGAGGACTGCAGCATACATGGACCCCATGGCATTGAATAAATCTTGCTGGCTCTCCCTGTAAGTGAAACAAATTGAAATAATAGAGACTCTATCAGTAAAGATGTGCAAACCAAAATGGAAGGTGACATTAGGGCACGAATGAGAATCCTGAACGGAGTGAAAATACATAAAATGATTTATTTGTCATTTTCAAAGGAAAAAAATGGATTTTTCTCCAACTTCCATCACTCCATTCATAAGTCATAAGCTGTGAGGAATATGCTTCTATGCACAGCCCTGTTATAACATATGTCATACTTCAAATCAGAGAGCTTCTGTGCAGATGGCTTCTAAAATAGCATTCACAGATTATTTCTATGCACAGCCCTGATAGAATCTAAGTCATCCTTCAAATCTGCCAGCTTCTGTAAAATAAGGATGGAAGTGACTTATACATCATAATTTGATGAAGTTGAAAGAAATTTTTTGCCGCTGGACCACTTAAAAAGACATGTACTTTATATTCTACATCAACTTCCCCTATGATCATTCTTCTAATACAAAATGGAGCACTAACAAATTTCTGACTGCAGTAGATGGGCCAAAAAACATATGATCCAAAGCTAAGAAATACAAAATAAAAGCATTTTAAAGAAAACAAAAAAAGAAAGATAAGCATAAAACTCAACATTCTGTGCTATATTGCTTCTAAATAATATTTAAAAGAAAGCTAAGAAGAAAACCTTTTTGAACCAAATTTCCAGCATATTGTTCCTAGCATCAATGAAATGACAACAGTGTAGAAGAATTTAACTGCTGTGTATTGGGGGTTTCGCCAATAAGATAGATTTTGTTTCCAAAGACATGTTAAAAACTGTTCAAAAAATGACTGGGAATACTTGGATGGAAAGTTCAATTCTTTTGAATTGCTACTTGGCTTGCTTAGATTTTCAACCAACTCCCTGTTGCGTCTGGAAAAAGCAAGACATGAAATTAGATAAAGAAGTTTTTGAAAATATGTTTAGAACTAAATAAAAACTAATTGTATAAGAAAACCAAGAGCTCAAATTCCAAAATAAGTATTCCTACTGAAATAGATTTGATATTCGATAAATTTCTGCAAAGTCTATGCCCAAACTGCTTTCTTCAGCTGGCGAAGTAACCTCAAGCATCCAAGCAGCAGGATTATAGCCAGGTCTGATCTTAGGCACTCCTTCAACTGCCTAGATGACAAAAATATAGAGTTAGCAGGAAGGATGCCAACTTCCTCTTTTTGCATTTTTTTTTTTGGGGGGGCAGTGGCCAAGTTCATAGTTTACTAAACCACATGAATTACATATTCTAGGACATAAACATGCAGAATCCAACCTCAAAATACTTTATGAGTTCACAAGACTTGGGGCCAAGTGGACCAGCATATATGAGCTCTCCTCCGCGCTTCATAAATAAAAGCTGCAATCATAGATTAAATCACAAGCTGAATGAGGAAGGGATCAAAATGGTTATATAATTATGAAGTACATAAATAACTTGTCTCTGGACTTGCCTATGTGACAGAATAATATTGCCTATTCATGATTATTTCTATATTTGTGCATATATGTGTGTGTACATATACATAGATCATCTCTCCACCAAAATTTTAAAGAGAAAAAGACCTCATCGAAGGATTCAAAAATGTCTATGCTGGGCTGATGGATAGTGCACACAATTGTTCTTCCGGTATTCACAATATTTCTCACAGTCCTCATTACGATGGCAGCTGATCTAGCATCCAATCCTGATGTAGGCTCATCCATGAAGACTATAGAAGGGTTTGCAACCAGTTCTACAGCAATAGTTAACCTTTTCCGTTGTTCAGTGGACAAGCCATCAACTCCTGGCAGACCAACCAATGCCCCACTTAATGGAGTGAGCTCCACTAGTTCCATTACCTCCTCAACAAATGCCTGATGATACGTCCCTAAGTAAGTCAATATGATACACAATGCTGTCAAATTCAACAACAAAAAAGCATAAAGTCTTTTATGATTACCCTTTGTGTCTCCAAGTCAACGTCTGATGGTAACCGAAGCCAAGCAGAGAATATAAGTGATTCAAGAACAGTCAAACAAGGAGAATGAATATCATTCTGCTCACAATAACCTGAAATCCTCGCAAAAGTCTCTTGCCTTTTCTGATAACCAGATATATGTATGGTCCCTTCTATGACCCCTCCAGTTTTTCTACCAGCTAAAACATCCATAAGTGTAGTTTTACCAGCACCACTGACACCAACCAAAGCTGTAAGCACACCAGGTCTAAATGCTCCCGTAACATTGACCAACAACTGCAATCTGTCTTCCATTATCCCTTGTTGCTTCAATTCCTGAAAACATACTCAAGTAAGAAGTTAACTGATCAACATATTTCCATAAAATAAATAGCATAGGGGAACAGGTTAATATACTATACCACAGGAATTTCCACAAAGTAATTTATGTTGCTGAAAGATATAGAAAGTGGTTGAAATGGGAGAACCATGCCTCTGTGCTTGAAATATTTTCCTGCCCAGCAGTTGAATAAAGAACTTAAATGTTTGGCTGCAGACTGACAAACTAATTAAAAATATGCTAAAAGATCTGGAATGTCTATTCCTTACCGCTTAATGAGCCTGAATTCTGCAAATAATGTCTCAATTCAGTAACAACATTTTCACCCTTCCTTCTCCTGTCTCTCTCTTGCAACTCTTCCTTGGAGAAAACAGCCTGTTGCTTCCCCAGAGCTATAGTAAATGATAAAGGAATAAAATTAATTAGATTTACAACATATATTACATATGTTTTGGTAAGGAAGTTCATGATTAACAAGCTTTCAATAGAAACGAGATAGCTTACGGTTAAGGTTAGCCAGAAAGAATGTGAACATGATATTGAACAAGACTGTGTATCCAAGCAAAGCACCAACACCAATCCAATACCAGTAGCTCTCTGGAAAATAACTGCGTGCTCTCAACAATGCCTCACCCAATGAGAAGTTAGTGTAGTTTCCAGCTCTCTACAAGCAAGGAAATTAAGTACAGTGAGTTTCAAGTTTCAACATAGAACAAGAGTGCCGAAATTGTAACTCAATTTAGACACAATTTTTTGCTGCTTATCTCCATAGTCAATCTACTGATACACAAATTCAATCCAAATTCCAATTTGAATGATCTCACATTCAGAGAACGTGATTCACTCATGACAGAACCAGGAGCATAATAAGGGTGAGACTACGACATTGTGACACAAACATCAAGCTACCAATCTTAAGTCTAGCTAAATAAATAGAAGGAGTACACAGAGACCATTGTCACATGCTCACATAGTCATGACATCATAACACTATAATGTTGAAAGAACTAAAAAGAAATGGAAACAATTACCTCTAACTCACCGATTAATCACAAAATACAAGTTCAGACTCAGCATGTCAAGGCTAATTATCAACAATTGTTGTTATTGCTGCTGATTTTATTCTTCTCCAGACATCATAAGTATTGCCACATGATGAAAGACTAACCGAATATTCCACAGCCACTAAAATGATTCATGCCATGAAAAATATTTAATAATGTTACCTTATCCCAGGAATTTCCAAGGAATTCATTGACAGAAGCTGCATTTTGAGCATACGTCAAAGGAGAAACCCAATAACCCCAGATCCACCAGCTAGGGATGCGATCTGTCAGATTAAAGAAGAGTAAATAATCATATAGCATCGGCAATTATAAATAAATATCAATGGAAAACATGTCTGTCTAACCTCTTGAAATGATATAGCCTCCAAGAGCCATGACCACCAACATAGCAAAAGATCCAAAGGTGTTGGCAACTATCATATTTCTGCCCAAGGATCCTATCACACGGAAAAGAGCTATAGACATTTGGTGCAGAGAGAAATACAACAAGAACTGCCGAAGAAATCTGCGAAGTTTGGAATTAAAATGAAAATTGAATCTCAAAACTACCACAATACATACTAAAATCATTGAAAGCAAAATTACCTGGTGAAGTTAGGATCATAACCAATCACATAGTATGAAATTGCCACCCAGAAACCAGATTCATAGAGGGAAGTTGGAATACTTAGCAGCCAAGAAGGAAGTGTATAAGCCCAACTTGGATAGAAATGCAAATCCCTATGCTTGTAAAGAACAGGAAGTTTGGCTACCAACATTGAAACCTCTGTAAATCCATTAAAAAGAATAATGACCATGGAAAAGTAAAGTGCTCCTAGATATAATCCTCCATCATCAATTGTATTATGATGCAGTGCCGTCCGCATAAAAACGCTCATTGTGATTGAGGCAACAATAAAAAGCTGGAGAAGAAAAGGCAATATTATAAATCAGATTAAATCTCAGTGGAATTTCAGCTCTGAAATGAGTTGGTAACACAGGAGGGTAAAAGAGAAAACAAACTGATCTAACAGATCAAAACCCTAAACTAATTAGCATAATCACTAGAAGTGCGCCAGTATTTTGACAGATTAAGTTTCAGCACTAACCTGAATAAATTTGAAAACATAGATAAATGAATTCCGTTTCATCAGTAGCATCTGCCAGTCAAAGCTGGTCTTAAGAAGTTCACTTCTCTTCACACCATAGCGAGAAGTTGACAATGCTGCTGGATGGTTATAACGCCTATCAAATGGAATGCTTAGTTCCTCATGTAAATTCTTCCCAGTTCGATAGGATTGGAAAGCTTCGCTAAATTTTCCTGGAGGAATGTAGCGATAAGGCCGGAAAGGAACAGACCAATACTGCTCTTGATCCTTTTTCGACAAAACCTGGGTGCAGAAAACTTGAGCAAATACAATACCATAGATTATATATTCACAAAGCAAGTTCTATCCCCATACCTCTTGCAAGAAGTCTGCCACATTCTTTCTTTCAGGACACTTAAATCCCATAAAAGCAAAGAAATCAAGGGCTGCATCACGAGGCCCCTGATACAAAATCTGGCCCTCACATAAAAGTATAACATCATCAAACAACTCATAAGTCTCAGGAGCCGGTTGAAGCAAAGAAATTACAGTAGTCCCATCGAGTGCACGAGTTGAATGTCTCAGATATTTAATAATTTGATAAGTAGTAGAACTATCAAGCCCGTTTGATATTTCATCCATAAACAACACCCTAGCTGGCCCAACTAGTAATTCACCTGAAATATGGGTTCTGCCAAATCAACATGAATGAAAAGCAAATAGCTCTTTAGTATGCAAGATGACAAAAAGTACAAAGTATAAACCTGTTGTTAGCCGCTTTTTCTGCCCCCCTGATATCCCTTTAAGCATTTCATCTCCCACCAATGTGTCAGCACATATTTCCAACCCTAAAATCTTTGTCAGATGAATTTTAGTGCTTCAGAAGAATCATCAACAAACAATATGAAATTGCTAATTGCAAGGTTTTAGAGCTAAAGTGAAACTTAGGTCTTGTTGAAGTGCAGTTAGTAAGAAACATGTGTCATTTAAGGCCTAAAAAACTACGTGACAACATAGATATATGCATCGATGAGTAATCAGCATCAAGAGAATACCTTCATGATGTATTCTACCACGAGGCTTGTCTCTTTTCCCCCTAAAGCTAGTGACTAGAAACAAGAAGTTACACCGTTAATAACTCTTGCCATAATTAACTAATAAAATGAAAACATAACAACCCAAGTAATATTGGCAAACCATCTCACTTACCTTCATAAAGATGTCAAGATCTTCATCAGGTTTTATCCCAGCATTCTTTTCTCTTCTTGCAAGTTCCAAAAGCATATCTTTTGCAAGTATGCAAAAGTAAGCAACAAGGAATTATGACTTATGGACATAAAGATGATTTCTCAATGCTTACCGTATTTAAATCCAACACCTTGACACCGTCCTGCAAATTCAAGTGTTTCCCTCACGGTCATTTCCGCAACATGCCAGTCTTGTTGACTGACATAAGCAGATGTCCTAGGAGGAACAAATTCCTTCAGTCCATGTCCATTATATGTGATTTTCCCTGACATCTTCAAAGCAATAACATATAATGAATAACAAGAAAGGAATCACAAAGGGAAATATTAGTAGATAACAAAATGTCTCACTGGATCACGGAGAGATTTATACTTAAACAAACACCAATTAAGTCCAGTTAAGTGGGATTGACATCCAGCTGAGTGGGATTTTAGCCCCATTCTAACCAAATGATGTTACTCCTGATTCTCACTGTTAATTAACGAACAAATATGCAGTTCCATCAACATATCCTGAGACCACTCAATGACATCGAACTATCCAGACCGACCTTCATACTGATTTTACACGCAACCATACTACTATATATCTTATCTACTCTTAGAAATATAAATGGTAGAAAATGCAAATAGACTTCCGTTTTTGCCTTTTACTTTCCCCGCTCTCAGGTCTAGGAATCCAGTAGCGAACAAAATAATTCGTAGTAACCACAAGTCCAATAGAATCTTCCAAGTATCCAAATACCTGCAAATGAGTTCCAAGGCATCCGGCCAGAGCCAACAATAATGTCGTCTTCCCAGAGCTTGGAGGACCCAATAGTAGCGTTAATCTGCAAAATATTATAGTAGTAACAAATCATGTCGCACTCCAACACGATTAATCCATTCAGTAAATAGCAAAAGGAAAACCATTTAAACACACCTTGAAGGCCTTATAATCCCACTACAATCGTCTAATATAGTCAACTTGCTTCTCCTTCCTTGATAGATACGCAACTGTCTCAAAAATGCCTGAAACCCACATTTTAAAAATTTGAAATTAAAATTAGCATGGCCATTGAAAAAATAGCTTTATATCTTAGAGTTGATGCATGTTAAGAGGGATTAATTGTTTCAGATTTTACCTCAGCCATGTTAAAAATAAAATTAGGAATGGTTGGTAATGCTCTGCTCCCAACATGGACAAAAGATTCAACAGTTAGATTCTGAAACCGAACCTCAATCTTCGGGAACTCCAAATCTACTCTGTAACACCACAAACAGAGCAAAATTTAAGCAAGAGTGAAGGCTGAGGCGAGAAAATAATAGAAAAACACCTCAACCGAGAAAAATTATGCAAATTCTAGCTTCTCATTCCCAAAAATGAGATATTGTCATAGAGTAGTTTAGCTTAGGATAATTAAACCGTACAGTCAAAATAACGACGAGATTTTTTTTTTTTTAAAGAGGCTGAAAAATCCAGAAATCTTGATTTTCCATTCTTGTCATTTGTCAATATTATATTATAAAAACAACGCAGAAATTCTCTTTGTTTTTTCTTTTTAACTTAACATAACATTAAATAATTTATTAAAATATATATGGAAAGGAAGACAGCATTACGCGTCGAATCGTTTCCTCATACGATCAAAGAACCGTTCAGGATCATCATCAGCAGACTTAACAAGCCGTTCGAGTAAAAGCTTTTGGTCGGTCAACTCGAGCTCGCTCACATCCACTTCTTTGGAGTCACCAACCATGTTCCTAAAAATTCCCCTTCGTACTCGCGCGTACGTCGGCAGCCTCTCCAAAGCGGCCCACCTCAGAGCCTCCTCATCATCATCCTCCTCCCTGAACGACGCCGACCTGGAGAACACGTTCTCCGCCGAGTTCCACATTGCGTCCGATCAAAGATCTAAAACAATAAGAGAGAAAAAGAGAGAGAGAGAGCTGAATGTGAGATTTGGAAATGTGGCTGAGTGTTTTTGTAAGTGAAAGAAAAGAGAGCTTATGGTCTGCTAGATTGGTAGTTGAGCTTTGCATTTATGGTGATTTTTTTTCTTTTCTCACTCTGTTTTGCTACATTCTTTTAATCTTTTATGTTATGAATCTGTTTTCGGCTAACTTAATTGTAGTTTGCTTCGTTGTTTAATTTTCTCTTCTTTTTTTTTTTTCTCTCTTGAATCCGTTGTGTACGTTAAAGTTGTGCAGGGAAGGCTCATTAATAGCCGCGGGAAAGATAAATGTTATTGGCGGGACAACCTCTCCTGTATACAGAGTGGTACTCGCTCTAATATTTTGACAGGTGTTAGTATAAGGGTATAATCGATGATTTGATTAGATCGTTGGCTGAGGACAACACATGTGGTTGATGGAGACGGGGGGTTGTGTTTTCGATTCGTAGACCTGCGAGTTCGGCTGGAAATTAATGTCTAATGCTTTTTTGTTTTTTTAAATTGAAACAGTTGGGAAAAGGGAGAATTTCTCCGTGGTGGTCTCACTGCTCACCGGCAATACCAAAAGAGTTGCATTACTCGTTCTGGTTTTTTTAACAAAGCCATTATTTTTTTATTTTAATTTTCTTTTTTCTTATTATTATCAAGTAAAGTTTACACTATACTTTTTTCAATTTGAAATGTTATATATATATATATATATATCATTAACAAAGTGGGAGATTGAGTTTGCTGGCACTTAAGCCTAATTTAGTATTATTATTATAATTGGAAAATTTTCAATTTGAAAAAAAAAATTTCGTGTAAAAATTATTATAAAAATTTATTATGGAATAAAATTTTTTAGTGTTTAGTATTATTATAAAAAATTATTATGATAAATTAAAATGTTTAAAAAATATATGATGTTGGAAAAAATTTTAGTTATTTTATTTCTAAATTATAAATTTCAAGCTGAAACCACATCTTTTTTAATAAACTTTTACGATTGATTAATTTTTAATTATTAAAATTTATTTTTAACATAAATCATAATATGTATAACATTATTTTTATGTTTAAAATTTGTGTTTCGCAACCCAAACACAATAATAAACAAGACTTTAGTAAAGTAACACTTAATTCAATAGATGAATTGACATAAAACTCAAATTATATCCTACGAAATATATATAATTAGGGATTTAAATTATATTTAATATAAAATATAAAATTTTAATTAATTTTAGTTTAAAAAATATTCAAACATTCATTTAAAATACTACAATATAATTAATGCAACCTCCTTTTATTCACTTTTTTTTCATATTTTTAATTTTTTTTGCACCCACGTAATGGTGGGTGTGAAAAATCTAGTTATAAGCAAGCTGTCAATAAGATAATGTGATTGAATTTGGTTTCTCTCGCGTACAAAATAAATTGAAAATCTTTACAATTGGGAAAAAATACAAAGAAACATGAAAAAATGAATAATTAAAAAAATAAATAAATCATAAAATATCTTTAAACTTTGTTAGGATATGAATTTCAATATTCTATTTGGTTTTTTTTTACAATCATTAAACTATTGTATACTATTTATATCTAACACCTGTAATAATTTATTTTATATATTTTAGGTTGCAACTTTTTTATTTTAAAAATAAAAAATCCAACTTATAATTATATTCAAATTACAATAATTTAAAATTTTATTTATAAAATAATTTTTTTTGTACGAGTGATACCTAAACAATCTCAAAATGTTTTAATTTTATGCACAAATCAAAAGATATGCAATGCATACTTGAATAGTTAAGCTCCACTCGCCAAGATCAATGAAGATTTAATTTTAAAAAAAAAAAAAAAAACCCAATAAATCTAGATGGTAGCTTTATTGTGTGGGTTTTGAAGAGGCAAATGCCTAGAAAAAACCTACATTAATTTTTTCAGATGCAAAAGTCTGTTAGAGCCGATTTTCAATTAATGAGAAAAATAATTAAAAAATAAATATCCCATGATAACTTTATAGTCTAATAATTAGTCGATTTCATAGTACCTTGCATAATTATTAATTAAAAAAATATTTTAAAATTAATTTTTTATAACTGAGATTATAAAAAAAAATAAAATTATAATTTTTTAAATTAAAATTTTAATATTCTACATAAAATATAAACGAATCACATTATTGTTAATCACAATAATCTCTTAAAAGAGACTTATTATAATCGCATTCAATAAAAAATTAAGACTTTTGAAAGGGTTAGGAAAACATGCATTAAATTTTTTAGAGAGTTGTAGTTCCACCTAATTAAACGACTATATAGATACACGTTTACATTATCAAAGACTAAACATGAATTTCTTGTTTACCTACTTTCTCCGTGCAAATCACGATTTAGTCGTCACCGATGTTGACTTCCGGTGACGATGTTCCGTGTTGATAGGGGATTTACCTACGACATGACGAGAGAATGTAAAAACGGTCAGTAAGAATTAAACATGGAGTGATTGAAAAGTGTTGAAATTAATTAGTTATCGCATTTGATCAAAATGATTTTGTCTTTGTTTGGTAAAACGGATTATGACTTTTGTACTCTTGTGCATTACTCTTTGTTACTGTCTTGGCTTTGGTTGCCTATTCATGCAAAACCAATATTTGGAAAACCCAAATAAACGCAATTGAAAAAAAGAAAAAAATATTCTGTTTTTGGAAAATAATAAACGTTCATGTAGTTGGAAATGAGAAGACTAATTTCATGGCTATGAAACAGTGTTTCTTTCCTTTCATTTCTTAAAATTTTTCTCATCTACCTATTTTTGGTAAGAAACATGAATGAATTAATTATAAAATAATATTATATATAATATGTATAATTTTATCAATGAAAATTAAATCTTTAATAAAAGAATGAACTTCATGACTAAAATTATTACAATAATAATTATTATTAAACGGGATAAAGACGTCAACACATATATCATTTTCTCTAAATACATAAAATATGTGTTGATTTTTAATATCTTCTATTAATTTTTTGTAATAAAAAATCAAAGAGTACCACGAGATTTATCACCTAATAATTCTTAATTATGAAAATATCAATGATGACATCAAATTTAATTTCTAACTTATGGATATTGAATTTGTCGCCAAAATTAATTTATCTATGAAAACCCATAATTCAGCCAAAATATTTGCTCATCCCCCTATGCCAGACAAGAAATGGAACGTGAGGACTTTTTTCATTGTGTGTGTGTGATCACAGCTGGCTTGTTTGGTGAAACCATTAATTGTGACATTTTATGGCGACCCACACAACATTTTTCTTTTTTTTTTAATAAATTTATAAAAAAATTATATTTTTACAATATTTTTAATAGATTAAAACTTAAATAACAAAAAGATAAATATATATTTTTTATCATTTAGACCAATCATCTATAGATAAGAGTGCAAAATTTTAATATTTACATTTTTTTCTTATTTTTTAACTATATCTTTTTTATTAAAATATATATATTTACATAGAAACATCTAAAAACCTTATTTAACAATTAAACTCAAGGATTTTCTTTTTTTTTTCAATATTTAATTTTCTTTTCCGAACATTAAAGTTGGATGTTGTACGGTAGTAGGAAGGATGTTTTAGGGTTGGAGATTGTAGAGGGACAATGGTAAACTAATTTTGAACCTATAGTCTTAATTAGATCACTCAATATCTTTTCCCTTTCATGATTACTTCTTTAACATTTAATCAAAATCGACTCAATTGATCTAATTTTGGGAATAATTATACCCTCTTTTTTTCTCGGGGGTCATATTAATGAATTCCTGTATGAGATAGGGAAACCTGTAATGTTTAACACATTGGCATACTGCCATTAACTTAGTGGACCTATTCTACTTGCAACTAAAATTACGTGCCTTTCTTTTTGGTAAGAGCCTTTAATGCCTCGGTGCTTCAATTACTTTTGATGAAAAAGAATTTATATCCCATTCTTTGTTATGGTCAAAATTAGAAGCCATTCAAATCTAAACAGTAAACTACAGAAATGGGCTATAATTTGATCTATGGCTCGACCAATTTTGATCTTGGATCCCTACCGTGGAATTCAACCCAGTCCCCGCCTAGTAATCGACGACAAACTACCAACACCATCACATCGCAATTATGGTCAGTCCACTTGGCAAAATGAGTAACTTTACTCCCCATTTTGATCTCCCTTATAGCAATGGAAGAAACAGAGCACCTAAAATTAACAATGTCAAACTATCTTCGATCGGGGAAGCCTTTGTGAGCTCTCTCAATCCTACATCAAAGAGGAAAATTACAAAAATATACTGACACTTTATCTGATAATATATATGAGAGGCGTCATTGCTACTTTTGAGTCATATATAATTACCGTGGGAAGTTGATGACCGGTGTGAATCAGATGGTGGTGGTGTGACTGGTGTCCCAAGACCAAGGCCATGACAATCAGCTCCTAGAGAGCCTGAAGCGAAGCAATGAAGTTAAAGCAATGAAGCAGTAACTTTGGTTTCTGGATTCTGATAACATTTCACATAAAAGAGAATTGCTTAACCACATATACTAAAGAACATTACATTCTTTGAAGCAAGGTAAGGTTGTCCTATTGAGCAAATTATCAGAGCCTGCATTGCAATCGCATTCGTAGCCAGTCCCATTTGCCTTACAGCTCCCATCACCGCACCAAGTAAGGGTACAAGCTACATAATGAAATAACAATGAAAAAGCTTAATAAATAGTAGTAAATTGAATTAAGGAAAAAAGTTATCGAAGCATACGGTCGGAAAAATTAAACTGCGGAGCCAGAGTTGTTGGCGGTGAAGGGCTCCCTCCGCCGCAGCCAAGGTTGAGTGTGCCTACATATTGTTTAGAAACTTCATAAATAAATGTAATACGAGAAGTAAAATTCAATGCTGAAAAGAAAAAGAAGGGTTGACAAGCTCACAGTTGGGAACGATGCAGGGGGGAAGGACGAAAGAAAAAATCTGGAATTTCGTCCAGCCAGAATAACAGTCGCATTCAAAGCCAAAAAAAGAACCATCTGTATTCTGGCAAGTCCCTTGGCCACAGTTTACCATGGCGCAAGCGTTAACTACACAAAATCATGACCGTAACCATGATTGTTCCAAAACAGGACATGATCAAAAGTTCTTGCATTGAGCTACCTCGAGAAAAACTACATATATAGTACCAATACTAATAATTTTAAGCTGCCTGGTTGTCACCTGGTAGTAGGTTTGAAATGAACGATTCAGAATTGGCTTCGGAGCTCCTGAAGAATGATAAGAGTATAAGAAAATTGAAGACATAAATATTGGTATAAAGTTTCATTTTAAAAGTACAAGCTCAATGAGATTGAATAGGATGACAAATTGACAGGGATGTATATATATGACTATATGTACTGCTTAGCTTGGAATGATGCTAGAAACCTTTTATGGAAGAATGGAATCAGCTGCCGTTGGAAGCAAAGGATCAATCATAGGATGGTCCGATGAAAAGAAGATGTTGGCGTCTGTATTGTTGATTTCGAATTTTTCAAAGAATGAATAGGCCAAGGTACAAGGTAGACATGATAATTTAAATCGAGATATAATGATATAATAAAAATACAATAAAAAAAAAGAATACAATAATGATATAATTTAAAATTTTAATAATATTTATCTATAATTTTAACAAACTAAAAAAATATATTATATATTTTCAGATTGACATGAATTATAACGATCAATTTTATATAAAATATACAAAAAATATAAATTTTAATATTTTATACTAACATCAATCTACGAATCTAAATCTAAATAGATTAGACATCTGTGCGAATTGGCTGAGCCTGAATGCAATATACGGCCCACGGGCATAACATTAGCAATGGTCTGATTGCAAAGGTAGTGTTTAGTTCTTGGCCCGATTGCAAAGGGCCTAAATAAGCAAGCTTGTTTGGAGCTTTTCTGTCAAATCAAGGCGTTATATTTTGTAGACGTATCAGTAATGACAGATCACAAATCTGGAGTCAAGCAACAAAAGCAATCTTAAAACAAAAATTCATCGGATAATGGGTTATAAGTCTAGACACAATATGATAGGCAAACAAAGCCCAAAATTCGTTCTATTTGGATTTCAGTTTTAGGTTTGTGCGGCCCTATTGTATATAACCCGGATGTGCCGGTTTGGTTCAGATTTTTCTTCCTATCCGAACCGAATCGACTCGTATACGCCCGCTTTTTCTTAGTCTGTTACTCGAAATCGAAGGCGCTAGAGAAACAAAAAATGGAGGGGAGCTCGACTTCTGCTTCTATCCAAGCCGTAGAAGAAACCCTAAGGACCAGAGGCTGGTTTTTCGGCAATTCGGACGAAGTCAAAGCTCTCATAGTAATACATACGGCTTTATCTGACGATGTAGACTCTTGTTTGATCGCCGATTCGGTTGAACCTGAGCTCATTAACATGGACCTTAGATCTATCGGAGGGAAATCCTTACCCGATCCGAACCCCCGAAAATCTTCTTATATTCTTGGTCCCAAAATCCTTCAGGTAAACTTCTTCCTCTCTTTCCCCTGGATTTTGTTTTTGGCTTCTTTTTTTAATTGAATTTTTGGAATGTTTTCTTTAGATTTCGTCAGTTAGGGATATATCTAGAAGCAGCATAGCGGAATTTTCGGGGAATTCGAGTAGCTTTCGTTTGCTAAGATTGGGTTTGACAGATGGACATAGTGAGATTACTGCCATAGAGTATTCTCATATTCCTGCAATTCCTGACAATGTGGTTCCCGGTACCAAGGTGTTCTTATTGTTCAGTTCCACTGAGCTTTACTTGTTTTGTTGCTATAATCATTGCATAATTTGATAATCAGAAGAAAAAAAAAAGAGTTTATGTGATTACTACACGTAGTAATTCAATATTGACTTCCATATTTATAGATAATTCATAATTGGATATGTGAAAGTCATATAAATTTGTTTGTGAATTACTATTTAAATTCCTTATATAATATGTTTATTCTCTTTGGAAATTCTTCATGATAGATTATATATTTAACCTGTAATTTATTTATGGTATGTCTTACTATTTATGAATTCTGGTTGGCAGATTCGTTTGGAAAATAAAGCCATCATACATGGTGGCATATTATGTTTGAACCCTAAAGTGGTAACTTTGTTGGGAGGTGTTGTTCAATCACTCCATGAAGAATGGGAGATGAACCAAAAATATTCAGGTTTCTCCCGTTCATCATTAAGGTCATCCCAGGAAAGTGGTACTGGTGGTCCTCCTTCATTCGAGAAGTTGCAAATTGAGGCACCCTCAAGCAATAGGTTTGTTCAACCAGGCAGATCATCTCGTGAGTATTCTGAATCTTTTTAAATGTCTTGTATTCAATCTTGTTTCCCTCTTGCATTCCCATTGTGTTTTGTGCTTTTTGTACCAGTTATATATTTTTTTGCATTTAGAGTTTGTTCGTGCACTCTTTAATTGCTTTGGTTAATACATAGGCTTAACATCTAACCTGAGAGAAAGAATGATGGACAGAGAACCCATGGCTGGAATGAACTCTTTGTTGTTGGCTACAATAATCAAGCTGTTAACTCTTGTCAGCGTAAAATCTGTTGTCTCAGGAAGATGATGGCTCAAGTTATCATAGAAAATTTATGCAATATGCATGCCAATCTAAATTATACTTAAGGACCTATTAATCCAAATAAAACATAATTACTACAATATTCAATATTCTTATGTGTATGCACCTAGTGCTTTCTTCCAAATTAACCAAAATTAGTCAGGTTTATTCACTTGGGAAAATCATACTCATATCCTAGAATTTATCCATCCTAAAATTATACTTCTTTGACGCTTACAAACTAATTGAGATTACCATAGCTCATAAGAGGCGTAAATCAAATTTCTTTTTATAAAAGTCAAAACTTTATATATTTATGAAAATTCAATGAAACCCATTTAGTAAAAATTTCTGCAATTTATTGCAAAATATATCAATCATCAATCAAACATAATTTTTATAACATTAAAATCATATTTTTCACATTTTCTGAAATTTCAGAATTTCATGATCATTTTGCCTACTTTGAGTCCATGTAACTCACAACCTAGATTGAATATAGAGGTGTATCCTATACCAAAATGAAGCCTACATATCATACTTGAACTTACAATTTCGAGTCAGAAAATATGGTAGCTGGCATTGCATTTTCCGATGGCCACAAGTTGGTTGCTTACCACTGTTCTGGCCAGATTTCTGGGTTTTTATGCTCATTTGGCTGTCTTTTGGTCTTTTATTCTCTTAACACAATGAGCCTCTAATCGAACCAGTAGTACCAACATAAAGATCACATTTCATACCACAAAATGAATCCTATAATCGACAAAATCCATCACTGGAAAGTATATTTCTGGCAACCCAGTTGTCTGCACATCATTGTTGACCCAAGATTAAAATCAACATAACTTTCAATCTACCCAACTAAATCAAGTGAAACTTGTTCCATTAGAACCCTTAGGTTGAGATCTTCCTAAAAGCATGTTTGCGCATAGGAAAACTCACCCGAAAAGTGACTAGCCATGGATGGAAGCTTAAGGTTTTTGAGCTTTCATACTATGCATACAACCAAAAACAATAAAAAGCTTACCCCTTTGTTTTGATGATGATGCAAACGCTCAATTGTTTGCTTCCTCTCTCAAATTCCATATTATCTTCTTCTCTCCTTTTGCTTCTTTTTTTTTTTTATTTTTTTGTTCTAAGGCGGAAGACAACATATTTATACTAGGAGTATTTTTAGTATTTTGCACTTAAACCATTCTAGGATTTTTACTTGCATATAAGCCCTTCTTGCAAGATAAATCAGTAATCTACAGGGAACCATATAAATCTTAAATTACTGTGCAAATAATATAACATAGGCATATGGAAAACTTGAAGATGAAATAAAAGGAATATATGCAGATCTTTTCAAGAATCAAGGTATGTAATTTGTAAATTTGTGTTACTTGAAAGGCTAAGCTTGAGAAAGTTGTTGAGGAAGGGAATTTTATGGAACAAGAGAATGAACAATAAGCATTGAGAAGCTTTAACTAAAGGCCCCTAAAAAGCTATTCCCTTGTTTTTTTTTTCCTTTATGATAAATCTATTTATGATGCAAGCTTTAAATGGTCTCAAATTGTGATTATAGTTGCTTGGTGCATGCATTGGGTATGTTTTGATCTAAATGTGATGATGTACAGATTACTCTGTGTCAACATTGAAGAATGCTGGACCTACTGTGGCGAATTCAGCTGGGAATACTGAAAGTAGGTGGAACAGAAGGTACCAGACTGTTGAATCAAAACCAGATACTGCGGATAATGGTCTTAAGACAGCTTTTGCAACAGAAAAAACTGAAGGAAATCCAAATAGCTCAGAAACAAGACCAAAAGAAGGTGCAACTTTATATATACTGCTATTTTATTTATACTTTACAATTCTGTTATAGCATATGCAGCTACCCCCTGTAAATTCTATTTCATAGAACTAGGAGGTGGCCAGTATCATGAGTGGGTGGGCTTCCTTTTCAAGGAGAAAGAGGAAAAGTGAGATGTACACTTTCTAATGGGGAAATGGCAGAGAGAACCGCCTGCAGTGAAGGGAGGGGGGGGGGAGGAGAATAAAGTGCTCTGTATCTTAAGGGCAAAGCACGTCTGTACATACGACGTGCTACCTTTGCTATAAAATTTTGTTTTGAGCTTCTCCTGCATAAACACAAACAGGGGAAAACCAGTGCAATACTATCACTTTTTAAATCTTAAATGAACTTATACTAATAAGTTGGGTGAGTAAACTCTCCTTCATTGCATATGATAGGACATTACAGATATAGTTTGTTTAATTATAAACTTCCTTCAATTTAGATCACGTATTGTTATGCTGATCTATATATCTTCCTTTGCCAGTAGCTGAGTCTGTCCCTCTTCAAAATCAAGCAGCTTCTCAGAAGCTCTTGCAGAAAATGAGCCATTCCAACCACAATGGTCGACATTCTAAAGGTCGAAAATATAGGGGAAAGGAAAAACAAGAAGAGCATGAGGTTTTGACTTTGGATGAGTGGGAAAAGATGAAAGCTGGCTCAAAACCTCAGATGAGAAATGAGCTTCCTGAAACAAGTTGTGATGAAGACTTTGCTAGGCAGCTTCAGACTCAACTGGACTTGGATGATTATCATGTTAGTGTTCTTGCAACTTTGAGTTGTTCCTGTTGCCAGTGGTGTTGTATTTGTCACCTTGCAATGTCTAATAAAATTATTTTCTTGTTCAGGCACAAAGAGTGCATGACACAGAGGCAGAGAACATTAAAAGAAGTATGTTTAACTATGAAAGAGAGGATGGTAGAAATCGACAAGAGGAACATCGAGGGAGAGGAAGGGGGAGGGGAAGGGGAGGAGGGAGAGGAAAAGGAAGAGGGAGAGGGAGAGGGAGGTTTAACTAACCTTTTTTCCACCTGTATGTTATATATGCACTCTTCATGTACAAGGTAACCTTTTTCCTTATCCTCTAATTTTTTTGCTTTTATTTTTCTCATATACACGTTTAAGCCCATGCATCACGGTGCCTCTCATCTCCTTCCAAAATGGACAAAAAGAAAGACATTGTAAGGCAGCTTCCCAGGCATTATTGGATGTGTTTAGTGAAATGATTCGTATCAGAGAGAAAAAAATGCTCACGCCTTATCCCGCTTCCTTACAATGGTGCAAACATCCACAGGGTGTTGTGAACCATCTTTTTGGTATAATTGAGGCATTTCCCTTTTAAGGCCATCTTTCTGGTGTCTTTTCCTTTGCTTCTTTTAATCATCTTTGCTGCCATAGCATATTAAGCAATATTCATATTTCTGAAATTTGCAACTATTTTTCGGCTACAAAAGAAAGCTTATTCTAAGCAAGCTTTAACTGTTGTTATGGATTTAATTAAATATTTGCATATGACCAGGTAACTCCAAAATTCAATTTGTTTTCTTTGACTGTTCTTAGGTGATAATTTGAAAATCTTGATTTTCTTCTCATGTGCTTGATTGATGAGCTACTGTTTTGGTGATTAAAAATATTATTCCACTTTTTTTTTTCTTTTTTTGCCATTTCTTTTTCTTAACCCTTTCAAATCTCAATTCAAGGTTTAAGGTTTAAAGTTTTTCTCTTTCAAGTTGAAAAAGATGAAAAGCAAGGCAAAGAAAGAAGCACAAAAATTAGAGGGGAAACAAAAACGGAACTGAAAAAGAGGAAGAAATGAAAGCAAAACAGTAAGAAATAATAAAAGAAAGAAATATTAGATCCCTATTCACAGAATGGAGGGTGACATTGGATGAAAGAATAGAAGGATTTCCGCAGAAGAACAGGAGGAAAAATCTTTGGATTTCTAATTTTTATGTGAGTTTTACTTCTTTTTCTTTTCTCATTTATCATTTTAATGTTAAAAGAAAAATAACCCTTATAGAGGAAGGCAAGGTGGTTGAAAACTTAACGTTAGGGTCAATTATTTTTGTTTGTTTATAGATTTTGTTTTTATGGATTTGTGGAAGAAAGGGAAATGTGCATATATAGAACGTTAAATTAAACTAAATACGCTTGGAAAATGTCATCCAATTGTATCTACCCGACCAAAACTTGACTGATATGAAATAAAGTTACTAAACTGCTAGCATATTTTTGTGCTCGTTCCGACATTTAATGGGCTGCTGTACCATTTATTTTTTAGAAAAGAAACTACTCCAGCCAAGCTCGTAATTGTTCCGACATTTAATCGTTTTCGTATTTTGGGTACGATAAGATTAAATTTATCATATTTTTATTTGAATTTAAATATTAATTTTAATAAAATTAAATCAATATAAAAATTTTTAATTACAGTTATAATAATTTTTTTATTTATAATTATAATAAATTTTATTTTTTTTTTTAAATTTTATTACAGTTAATCTTATCGTATATTTAAATGAACCCTCTACCAGTTGTTTAGGTAAATTAGTATTGCGGGGAAATAGTTTGGTTGGATAGTTTTCTTTCCTAACATATAATTTATTGACTTCGACCCCAAAAAAGGTCTAAAATAAATGAAAAACGATTCGTTATCTGCAAATAATTACATTAATTAATTTGGTTAGTGTTTTAATTGAAGGTAGGAGTGTGGGACATGATGTTTGACTTGTTTGAACCTCATCTGGTACATCCGCAGCCCCTAATCCAATTCCAACTCCAATTCCCAAATTGAACTATCGCCAAATCTATACTCCACAGTCCCAGCCCAGAAGGACCCAAAAGATGGAGAAAACTTTCATCCAACCATCAATCGCCGTCTTAATCTCTTCCCTAATCGCGATTAGATCATACAGAAGAAAGTCTCTTGATTTTTCCGGTGCCCTTTCCGGATTTATCGTCATGGCTATTCACTTCGCTGTCGGATACAGGTCCCTCTTTTTCTTTTCCTTTATTTATATATATTTTTGTTTTTTCGTTTTAATTTCTTTGTTTGGTTTGCTTAGTAACTAGAAAATCATTAGTTAAATGGACATTTCAGGTTTGGGGCAATGTTACTTGCCTTCTTCTTTACCTCATCGAAGCTCACCAAAGTTGGAGAAGAGAAGAAGCGAAAAGTTGATGCTGATTTTAAGGAAGGTGGACAAAGAAACTGGTAATTATATTATGTCTTTCTCCATTTTATCTTTTTTTTAAAAAAAAAAAAACAATGAGGAATTAATTTAGTTGAATTGGTTTAATAAAAGAAAATTTTTGGGTTGCATTTTTAGAAATTCCGGTTGAGGGAAAATTAAAAAAAAAAAAAAAAACTTTTTGATTGGTTGAGAAAGACGAGGAAAAAGGAAAAATAAACTGAACGGTTTTAAATTTGTGCAACAACAATAAATCAATGATATTGATTGGAGGATGGTAGTGTGAATGCCATGACGGAAACTTTTCTTTTTGGGGTTCAAAAGGTTTTCTAATGACTAATGCTATGATGCCATGGGCAAAAGCAAAAGACTAATGGCTTCTAAATTTAGAAATACTTAAAGAATTTGCAAAAAAAATCAAATGAGCTAATTTTGGTGGGTCAGGGTTGAAAATTTTGATGAGACTAATAGAGGAAATATTCAGAAAGAATGACTTGAGCTTTTAATCTGGTGACAAATCCAGGTAAGAACTTGTCATACGTGTGTTATACTGAATCATTGATACTTTCTTTGACTGAGTATTACCAATTTTTTCGTTTCAGGATACAAGTTTTTTTCAATAGTGGCATTGCAACAGTTTTATCTGTGATAATTGGGAACCTGACTGGATGGGAGGACAAGTGCCTAGACTCAAAAGAGTCAGTTCTTATCACATCCTTAATCGGTGGTATAATTGGTCACTATTCCTGCTGCAATGGTGATACTTGGTCCTCAGAGATTGGGGTTCTTAGTAACGACCAGCCACGGTTGATCACAACTTTTAAGGTGGATATTCTTTTCCCAAATTTGATGTATGAACTTATTGTTTTGAAGGGTAACCTATCAAGTCACACTACATTCCATCGTATCCTGTTCAAACTTAGTTAGCACTTTTTAGATAATATCTCGTTTTTCTAAAGATCAACTCAACCTCTATTCCTGGAGGATGAATCTGCTAATCTTTCCTTTAGTGAGCACTTTCCAAATAATATCTTGTTTTTCTAAAATCAACTGAACCGCTATTCCTGGAGGATGAATCTGCTGATCTTTCCTGTTAAATTAAAGCAACTATCCACCTAAATTCTACTCACTGCCATTTACAGCTGCTATGCAAAACACATAGTTGATAGTTATGAAATTTACAACCTTTATTGTCAATGTGGTTTTTAAAGAAACTATTAGAAGGATTTTCTTTTATTGATCACGTAGATATGGTCTTAGATGCATAATCTTATCCATATAACCAACCTGATATAGTGGGAAAAGACTTTGCTTCTTGTTGTTGTATATTTATTTACTAATGTAATAGTAAATGATTATCAGCCTGTTCGAAGAGGCACAAATGGTGGTGTGACAAAAACCGGACTTGTAGCAGCTTTGGCAGCAGGGAGTGTGATTGGGTTAACGTTTGTTCTTGTTGGATTTTTCACTACAAGATGTTCAAATGGAATGACCATGAAGCAGCTGTTGGTTGTACCCATTTCTGCGGTGGCTGGACTTCTAGGAAGTATCATAGATTCTCTGTTGGGAGCAACCCTTCAATTCAGTGGGTTCTGCACTGTCCGAAATAAGGTAAATTGAACTCAATGCCAAATATTTTTAAAACAGAGATCTTCACAATGGAAAACAAGCCCCACTATGCCATGAAAAATGAACTGTATAAAGTTTTGCTTACTGCATCATGATTTTTTTTATAATCTGTTTGCAGGTTGTCGGAAAACCTGGACCTACGGTGAAGAAGATTTCAGGTCTTAGCATTCTTGACAACAATACCGTGAACCTTGTCTCAATACTGTTGACCACACTTCTGACTTCAATTGCCTGTGTCTACATTTTCTGAGGCCGTATACTAGTTAAGCAGTTTAGACTGTACAATGAACTTCTTATTCGATGTAATCAACATTGGAAAAATGAATTCCCACGTCTACTTCAAAATAAAGATAACCATATTAATTGACCGGCCAGGTTAGAATAATATTTGCAAGATGAGTAGTCCTTTTTGCTTTGTGCTATGGTTCTGAAAGTAACTTTTCAAATCTCAACACAACTGAACTGACGGTATCCAATTGCCTTTGGCTCCGGGCAAGTAGATTTCATAGTCCTTCATTAAGGCTTAATGCAAACAAATGGTCGAACGTGAAAGAAACAGAACAGGTCGAAGACACAGAGTGAGTGTTATAATAAAGGTTCATCGTTTAACTATGCCAATTTGAAACAAGAAATAAGGGGAGGAAACAAGATTATGACTTACTCTGCATACTGCTATTAAGAAATCACAAGAAATGCCAAGGCAACTATAGCATATGAATTGTGCGTAATGGCATGACTGGTCTGGATTTTATTTTCCATTTTTTGTTAGGATGATGAACTCCTCGAGTACCTTTTGATGCTTTTGCACCACATCTATACCTAAAGCAAAATAAACTAGAAAATAAATATAGAAAATTTTAAAAATCATGAAAGTTTCCAAAAATTATATAATACAATCACACACAAAAAGAGAAATAAAATTTTTTAAAAAAATTAATCTATGATTTAACAACTTTTTTTTTCTTTTTTTTTTTGCATTCGAAAATAAAATACTATAAAAAGAGAATATCACAGTGGAAATTGATGATTTCAAAAATAAACCAAGAGGCAACGAACAAAATGAAAAGTGGTGATAGAGAATCAAACTTAATCCAAATCCATCTTGGACAGCGAATTCAGGTCAAACTTAATAACAATTTAAATATACTTTTTATTTTCCGGTTAAACTTGTGCACCAATAGGTAAATGAAATAAAAAGATATACTTAAAATGAGAGGTAAGAAATGCTAAGCATTCTCAACAGCAACATAAAGTGAACAACCATCTTCCAAGAAAAGGGAAACAGAGGGAAACAAATGAAATGTCAAAAATAAAAAGCTGAATAGGCTATTTTGATCCACTTTCAGTTTCCACTTTTCTTTATGAATATGTTTTATGAAAAAAAATCTTTTTGGGGTTTGATTTTCGTATCATCTCACAATAGACCAAAGACAATGGATTGGTCTGGTGAAAAGAGATGTCAACTTCAACCCACAAATGACACTATCAGGGCTATGGTTCATTCCCTTCATCTTATCTTATGCCAGGCCTGCCAAATTCAACTTCTTTTATCAGATATTGGGCCTAATTGTCAAAGGATACTAGTCGCATTCAATAGTTAATTGTCACAAATTTTGTTAAGGTGGATTTGTCAAAGGATACTAGTCGCATTCAATAGTTAATTGTCACAAATTTTGTTAAGGTGGATACTCTTTTTCTGCTATGAACATGTGTATATATATCATTCTAGGTTGCTACTTATCCCATTATTCCACTACTCCAATATACGGACCACAACAATTACATATGGAAACATGGCTTGCCAGATATATGTAGTTTGATTGGGAATTCGAATCCCATGTCCGAAACATGAGAAATAATTTGTCAAAAGAAAAAGTAATTATAGCCCAGAGGACGTGCTATGGGAAACAGTGGCTTATACTTCATATCTTAAGGCATCAAACCGCAAAGAAACTCCAAGCAACACTCGCAAGTTTCGAAACAACAGAAACAGCAACACAACGCGAACAGACTGCATCTCCAACATGGAAAAAAAAGAGAAACGATTCTGAATCAAACTTGGAAATTGGAACAGGTAAAATATTTGTGGAAATGTTTATAGAATGAACTTGTAATACTAACCAAGCATAAAGACAGCCCTTTTCCTCATGGCGCCTTCGGACATGTTGATTGTATGACATAACTTCATAACCTGGTGGCGCATACATTTTGTATCTTGTTTGTTTAACCCAGAAATCGTGTCTAAAAGTAGTTCAGATATAAGGGTCTAATAATCTAAGAAATACAAAAGAGGAAAAACTTAACAATGCAAAAAGGTTCACAAGAAGACACACGAGGAAACTTAAAGGGAAGTTTCTCATCTAAGAAAAGCTTTTTCGTGGTTATTAACACTTGTATGACCTTATTTGGTTTGATCATTCCTGGATTGGGACTTTGCCCCTTGCCACAAACAGACGGAAATATCTATTTTTTTTTCCAATAAATCAATATATTTATTACATAATATTGGCATCACATTTGTTCCAACCACAATTTCCCTGTAAGCATCGACAAATTTGTTTTGCATGGTTTGAAGCTTAGGTGAGTTAATGGGTTTTTAGGTAGTGGAAAGTGTCTTAGATGCAGTTGCTTCTGCCTTCGTGGAATATATCAACTGGGTTGAACATAATCGCAGGACATTATACAACAGAAAAAAAAAAAAAAAAAAACTAAAATTTGATTTTTATTTTTGAATATCAAAGGAACAAAAAGATTTTTATTTTTTAAAAAAAAGAGGAACAACACGCCTGGCGTGCCATGATCACCATGATTGATCATGATACTAGCTAGAAAATGTGCTTACCCACATCATGAATTCCTGGCCGTCTACAAGTTGTTGGAAAACCAGGACGAGAAAGAGCTTGCTAGTGAATAAGATTTCAGATTTTTATTAGCTTGCTTGACAACAATATAAGTGAATATATAGTATTCCGGCGGTTCTGCCTATCAATCTTCTTTTAGCACAGCGAAAATACACATACTGTATCACATTTCTAGATATAATATTGAAAATTAATATTAAGTGAATTGTTACATTTAAAGCAATCAAGAAACCTATTATTGTATGAATTAATGCTGATAGATAAATAATATGGTTCCTTATCTTCGGTGGTATATGCAGCTCTCGGAATTGATGGTTTCATGATTGCAACAATATTAATCCTGAATGGTCAATTAGTGTCTTACGTAACTATTGTGAAGTTGTAATATATTCTCTTGCTTATATAGACTTTGGAATTAACCCAATTTGGTTATGCTTTAGAAGAGAAACATTTAGAAGATGGAGGAAATAGAAGAGAGAAGCAGAGTTATGAAATCGCCACGACTACATCGACCATTAGGAAATCTCATTAATTTAAGGTTACAACATGCAAAAGTAAAAAACTACAGTCAAACAGACATATTGGATTTGTGTGACAAGCAATCGCTTATGGATAAACTCCGAGGTTTGTTACATTAATTATGGATAAACTCAAGACATGTGGATATTCAAGCCTCATCTTTATTAAGTCGATTGCTCTTTCTCAACTACACACATTATTAATGCTCGATACACTCGCATTATTTTGTAACAAAAAGATTAGGTGATCTTCCCACAAAAAAAAACAAGTGATCGACTTGAAGAACATTGTCTTAAAGTAGTGGTAGGAAACGCGTCCCCTGGTCCAAGATAAACTCTATAGACTCGTAGCAGCAGAAACAGCAACAACATGTAAACAAGATGCATCCCAGAAGATAATAGAAAAAAAAAGTTGTAATCAAACTTCATATGACAAACACATATTGCAAAAATAGTTAAAATTTTTCAAATGGTAAATAAAGGAGTATATATTTACACATACATAGCGTAGATAACGCCTTTTTCCTCTTGGCGGCTGCGACTATGATGCCGGATTGATATTTTCTCAGTTCTCTAGAAGAAAACTTGCCCGATAAATGCACAGAAACAGAAGCTAATCAGGAAAGCTGAACAAGTAAAATGCAGCAACGAAGAATATATTGTGCGTAGAAGCAAGCCTGATATGGCAGGTTTTTATAGAGCTTTATCCCGCATATGGACAAGTCGCAAGTGGATATGCCCTGATTTGCTTTTGGACAAGTCGCAAGTGGATATCCCCAAAGAAGAAGAAGGGGGGAACCTGACAAGTTTCAATATCAACACAGTTCAATTTGCTGAAAGTCACCAGCTTGAGTTTCCATTTTTTTATATGACGATTGGTTCGTTGGGGGTTTTTGGGGTGGTTGTGGACTCGTGGTTGGGCTAATATTCTTCTCTTCCAAAATGGTAATAATTAGTATAAGCGTGCAGACCGTGCATTACAAAGATAGCAGTGGTGGACCGGTGGTGAGTGGCTGAGTGGAGATAGACTGATACCAGTACTTGCTTGTGACCACAAATGACATTAATAAGATACCACAGCTAGAGTAACTAATAAACAATCGGGTTCAAATGTACTAAGAGCTTGGACTCAACTCTATTAAGCATTATTGGGTTTTGTTTGTCTGTTTTTGAACCAGTTTATTTTTGGTCAATATTTTTGAATCAACTAGGAAGGACAGAACCAAAAGAAAGGAGGAGGATGGGCTTGGGGGAGATTACGACTCTGGGATTTCTTAAAGTTCTGTGTAAAGGTAGAATGATAAGTCTTAATACACAGGAATACCCCCGTTAGCCGGCTTTTGTAGCAAATTCTATTTGTTCTTCCTCCTTCGCCGCTTTCCTAGTAGCGTTATAGGTTGTTAGGCGACTGGAAGGTTGCCACGAGAAAGTTAGTTCGGGGGGCCGAAGGCCATTCTTCGTTCACCGGACACGTAGCTTACCGGATCATTTGCGATGCAGATGGGGATGCATGCTACAAATATAGGGTCGAGTCTGATAAGTCAATCGTTTACTCAATATCCTTGTATTTCAATATTTTAATAAATAAAACAAATAAAATAATCAATTTTATCAAATTGAACCATAAGTTTTTAAGTAAATGAAATAAATAAAATAAAAATATATTTTTTACTTAAAAAATTAAATAAAAATATAAATTATTAAAGAGTAAGGTGAGAATGCAAAAAAAAAAAAAAAAAACTCCATTAAAGAATTTTACTAAATATTAACATTTGTTGAAGAAATTTTCATTTTAACTTCATCTAAATATTTTAATGAGTTTCACGTATAAATTAAAACTCCTAAAATTTTAAAAATCATACAATTTAATTTTGTTTTTACAATAGAAAATTTCTTTCGTAAGTTGAACTAACGGGAATCGTCCGAAGCCGTGGCCCACATTCTTGTTGGTTCGCAAATGCTGAGGCCTGAAGTACAAGATAGTGTTTAAATGATCGATTGGTCATAATTTTGAGTCCCCCAATTCAGAACTTTCACATAAGCTTTAACTCAATAGAAAATGGTTTCTATTCCAATCGGGCTTGAAGAACAAAACAAAAGAACCTTCTTCAACCCAAAGTCATGAATAGGAATTATCCAGCCAAGCCCTTAAATCGTGCAACCAAAACCCAAAGTCCAATCCAACTTGATACTAGTAGAATCATTCTCATTGTTAAAAATTAAAATTTATACATCTCATATATTTGCTTTCCCACCATGGCAACAAACTTGTTATACCACAGATCTTATTTTGCTCTTAACATATATTATTTGACAAGGTTTTAGCAAAGGAGGCATTGTTGCTCCAACGAAGTCGGATTGCTGTGAGTTATATCACGGCTATAAATGTATAGACAAAAATATGGTACACAAAAGCAGCCCAAAATCGATACATTTACTCGCAACCCAACAACTCAGTGCCTGAAAATCCTTCGAGGCAGTAGCATCACTAATAATCTTCAGTACACCAATTATAGCTTTAGATACAAACCTCATCTATTTTTGGTCATGAGATACAAACCCTACGTACTGAATCACAAACTTGGCCAAATTCAAGAAGCAACATCCAGCACTGCAATCAGAGCAGCTAGATATATACATTCATACATATATATATATATATATATATGCATGTTTCTTTCTTTTCTCGTTCACAGTTGCTCGAGTAATTAACAGGCAACAGGGCATGCGGCTGGTTTTAAGGGAGGGGTGATGTTAGCAGCTGAAGGTTTGAAACTGGCAGCAGTTTCCAGGCGTTCCCATGTTAGTTTCCTCTTCTCAGCTGCCTCAATGGATTGGGTGTTTTCCTCCTCCAACTTACGCTGGCAGGCAAGCACAAGCTCTTCATCCATCTCACATAACATCTTTCTTATGTTCTGTGTCAGGTTAAGCACTGCTTGGTTCCAATGATTCAGGGAATTCCGCTCAAGGGCAGGAATGATAAGAGGAAAAATCACCTGGCGGTTATGCGTAATGAGATTAAGGATGTGCTCATTGTTCCATATCAAGTGAGCTCGTTCAGCTACCTGAAAGGGTGGAAGGAGAAAGGTGAAAAAAAATTTCATATTGCCATTTGGCCACATAACATCCATCACCATTTAATTAATTTGTCTAGTCAACAAACGTTCTATATCAATAGGCAAAGAGAAATGCTAAAACCAACAAAATGCATTCAATTACTGTGATTAAAATTGTACTAAACATACAGTTCGGTATATGGAAATTTCATGTCTGGAAACCAATTTGCCTCTTTGCCTTTAAAGAGTAGACATACCACTCCAGAAAGTAGTGGGGTGGGTCATCAGTCAGTTTGCATAAGCAAAAGCCACAAAATTATAGCCAAGTACTGCCATGATTCTTAACTTATGAAAGTTAATGATCACCACATAATTCAAATTCAATACTACATCAGCTTTTTATACTTTAAACAGTTTACGTTCTCAAAAGATGCCTTTTAGCACAAATTATCTGAAATACACGTTATTCCCAAATTTGAAGCTCTTTCAGTAGGCAAAAGAAAAAAATAAAAGCAGAAAACCAACAGTATACATGACATGAGGTTCTCAATCAACCAAAAAAAAATAATCCTGATAAAGATACCGTTCAAGGTAACATCTTTCTCATAGGAATTAGAACAGGAAAATTTACCTGGTAATGGAAGCTGTTTAAGCAGCATGCAAAACGACGAAACAGTGGAACCATGATCTTTTGGAACTCGACCATGCTGGTCATCTCCAAAATTTCTTCTAACTCACTTATAAACATCAACTCCTTCTGGCTATTTGTAATTGGCCAGTACTTTAACAGTCCCTTAATCACACAATTAGCTAACTTCGGATCCTTATCTATAAACTGTACAACACAGTAAGTTAATTGCTGATGATAAACACCCACTGATTTCGGTTTGTGTAGAGGAATAAGGGCTCTCCACAAAAACATCTTGTGCTCCTCCTTCAATGGAATAGCAAACCCACTAATAATACTTCCAAAAATCTCCAAGAGTTCAGCAATACCCTTATGCCTTTCAGTTTCAAAAACAAATCGATATATGATATTGCTAACAGCTTTTCGCACAAAGGGCCTGTGCACCATGAATTTCCCATAAATCCTATGGAGAATTGTCTTCAAACAGTCTCTTTCCCGGGGGTCCTCAGACTCAAAAAGGTCAAGTAATCTCAAAATAAAAGAATGATCTACATACTTTTTTGCCACCTTTGCATCAAGCGAACTATAACTGATAAACTGAAGAAGTAGATCATATACAAGTTGCAAACTGTACCAGGCAGGATCAAACGTTGGTTCATCGTCTTCTGCTTCACCACTAGTGCTATTAGAGCGATATTTAGGTGGAAAAACTCTGAAAAGGTTAATGGCACACATTTTACACACTGCAGCAATTGCTGGTTCGTTGAACTTTGCAGACCCCGAAGAAACAAAATCAACAAGCTCTATCAATGTTTGGCGTTTAAGATCTTGCTCAGAAGTAGTTTTTTCTGGATTACTGAAATCAGAAACCTCACAGCACAGATTCAATTTACTGATAAACAGGTTCTGCTTCTGAGGATTTGAAACATCCTTGAAAGATAGATTGGGCTCCACCGTCTCCACTCCAGCCATGATGCTAGCAGGAAAAACAGCTGAGGACACCCGTTTAACAACACTTAGTCGACTTGATATGCTATTCCCAATATTTGTACATTGAACTCCGTTGCTGGAGTTAGAATTATGGTTGCCAGAATCAATTCCAGCTGAATCTAATGAGTCAGATTTTTGTGACTTCCGCGGAAGTTTGCTTAGAATTTGTTTGAGCATGATGGCAAAAAGCACTTCCCAGCAACACAAACTGCCTGAATCACATTACAATAATTACAGACTTACAGTGATTCAATCAATGTATACCTTTCCAAATTGTAAGTGAAATAGGGATGGCATCAATATGCTAGAAAAAAAGAAAGATTAAGAACACCAATAATGTATACAGTTGCAAAATACTAATTTAGGAAGAAATGGGTTCACTTGTAATATTTCAACCATATTGATTAGTAGCCGGTAAGAGAAATCGTGCTAAGATGCTTAACAGGCTGTAATTTTGATTGACAAATATATACATAGGTAAGTGAAACACCAACAAGCATAATATCCAATGCAGCAAATAACAAATCCAAAGACAGCCAAACACTAACGTGTTTCGCTTTTTAAAAAATTAAAAAAAAAAAAAAAAACTGCTTTAAATAAAACTATTCCTTATGAGAGAGTTAGATACATTCTTGCTGCTAGGAGTCCTAAATTCTGAAAAAAATAGTTCTGGAACATCACTTTTTCTTAAAAAAGTAAGATTTGAAATTTTCTGATCTAAGCTAGGGTATCTAACAATTATCAGATGCTAGAGTTTAGCTTTCATCCGTAGAAACTGATGGAAAAAATAATGAATACATGAAGAAAATTCAGTAAAGCAATTACCCCAAATTACACTGTCACAACTGCCAGTCTGCCACCAGTATTATTCTTCAGAGATAGCAAAATAAATCAAGTTAAAGCACTCACTTTGATAACATAAAACTTGAAAACTAAGTTCCCCAGAAGGAAAATCAAACTTTATAAAAAGAAACAGGGGTCTAACAGCTGCAATATTGTGATGAATTGTAAAAGAAAATATAGAATTTTCTTTCATAACAGGATAACTGTATAAACTTCAGATCTGATAGAACAAAGTGAAATCATCAAAGATCTAGCACCAAATCACAAGCTCACGAGAAATGGAAAGAAACCCAGATCTCATTTATTTTTAACTAACAAAACTATAAACTACCATAAGACAGAAATTACCAACACAAAATGTCATCATCAAGCAAATAAACTTGGGTAAATATTTTGACCTAAAAGGACCAACAAATTAACCTATCTTGCAGTTAAGCCAAGACTAAAGACATTAAAGGAAAAGAGTCAAAACCTGTATCTGTTGAGCTGTCAAAGATAAGATTGGGAGTTGGAAGAGAAAAAACAGAAGCCCGAGAAGTTTTTAACAAAGAAGGAAGTGAAAAAGAAATGCTCTGAAAATGGTTTAGACTTTAGATAAAGACAGCATTTTGCTTTTTCATTAGTTTCAGGGTCAGGACTCAGGGAAGAAATTGGGTTGGAGTTTTTGAGCCTGAAAGTGATAAAAATAGACTAGTTTGCTGGTGTTGGATCGCCATGAAAGATGAACAGTTGGGTTCCTCGATTGAAGAGAATGATAGGTGTGGCATTTTCTGAGAAAATTGCAGGCACCAGTCAGCCCACCAAGGACATATGGTAAATTTCTTCTTTTCCTTTTCAAAAAAAAAAAAAAAAGGTCATTATTAGTATAATAATAATTCATGATTAAGTTTGGGACCCTGTTGTTTAGGTTTAGCACAACTATAATAATCTCTTTGAGTACGTGTATCTATCTTTTTCTTTTTTTCAGTCACTCTTCTTCTGCAAAACTTTTGAAACATTTATCCGTAAGTTTTAAAATAAATATATAAAAATTAATATTTTTTAAAATTTTATATATAATTTAATTCATTTCATTAATAAAATAATATTATAAATAAATAATAAATTTATAAACATATCAATATTAGAATTTTAATTTTAATATTTGATTTTTAAAAACTGGTATCATCGTTCATCATTTAGTGTAACTTTTTTAAGTTTTTATTTGATTTTTATTTTTTTTTGGAAAAGGGAAAGTAATCTTAAGATTTTGTTTAGCCAATGAAAGGAATTTAGTAAAGAAAGAATTACTTTTCAATAATGTAATAATGAGCTGTTAACTTGTTTTTAGTTGGAGTTAACCTCTTATTGATTCAAGTTAGAAGGTAATTTATAGTAAAAATTACCTCTGTAACTTAACTTTAAGTTTCAATCATGTAACTAATTCACCGTCATTTATATTTAACAATGTTTTCAATTCTTTTCATTAATGAAATATATCAAAGTTTAGCAGTGGACTATAGCCCAAAAAAAATTTGAGTGTGTCAATGATCAATGGTGAAAAGAAAGAAGATGCTATAAAAAAAGGTGACATTTTAAATTCTTGATCCTTTAAGGCACTGGTCAGGTTGTTCGGTTGGCTCGCGAGTATAATTCAGTTCTAAATTGATCTTGGATAAAGATTTTTTAGTCTATGTTTTGCTTTATCCACTTGAGATATTAAATTATTAATAAAAATATTTTTTAAAATATTAAAATATTAATTTTTTTATTTTTAAAATTTATTGATCAAATAAATTTTAATAAAAGATTTTTAAAAATTTAATCGAAGCAAACTCGACCTGACGCACGAACATTGCAATAAACTTTATAAACAAACATTATTTTGTAGTTATAAATGTTTGTATTTAAAATTAAAATAACATAAGTAATATGCAAAAGTATAGTTTTAAAAAAAAATTGCCCTCCAATTTAGCAGCTGATTTTATCATAAAAAATTCCTTGATAAATTAAAATCAACCCTAAAAATGTTTGATTTTACAATTCTGTGCTGCATTTGGAAATCAAGACCTTTAAAAAGTAGAAATGGTGTTTTTTATTTTTAAGAAAAAATTTTTTTTTTTCATATTAGGCTGCTGTTGATTGTTGAACGTATCAGGCTTGCTTGCAATAATGGAGTTCGTAGAGTTTTTGCGCTTCAACAACATAATAATTTTGCTTCTGCAATTTCGACCATGGAATCCTAGGAGGGTACATTGTACCTCACCAATTTGCCTGTTTGCTTTTTATTTTTCTAATGATAGCAATAATTTCAGAGGAAAAAATAGTTTTCTTTTGTTTTTTTTAATTGATCTGTCCCCCAAAATGTTTCATGAACAAAAATATATGTCCCTTGTAAACTCAGACTACAATTTCTTAAAGAAATTATCTAATACGATAACACTAAAATTTTTTAATTTTATAAACGAAATTAAAATAATAATACATATTTTTTACATATTTATAAATTTTAATTTAATAAAAAATAATATATATAATTATTTAAACTCTACTTATAAAATAAAAAAATTTTATTATCGATGTATCAAATAATTTTTTAATTTTTTAATCATTTGAGTCTTTCTAATTTTATTTATGTTATCCACTTTTATTGGTAGAATACCAAATAATTAAAAATTTAATTTGAAACAATAAAAACAAAAATAACAAACTCTAGATTGAATAGATCAAAACTAATAATAACTCAAATTTAATAATCAATTTTATTCTAAATAAACTTAAACTAATCTCCAAATAATTAAATTTGAAAAAAACATTGAACATGATGATACAATCCATATCCCAAATGCATGATTTAATCTTAACTCATGCGTTTGTCATCTACATTCAGAATTCACAAATTAGATTATTTATAATTATAGATTTTTTTTTATGATAAAAGATTTGTAATTAAAAATGACTGAGTAAAAATCTTACTATTATAAATGTGATTGAGATGTAAATGTAATAACACCAAATACACATTATTTTTTTCATAAGATGGGTATATCAATTGAAATGTGAAAAAAAATTTTGGTTCCAAATCAAGGTTTTTAAAAGACTACAGAGGAAAAGAACTGTGGATGTCACCTCAAAAAAAAATGACAGTGCCTATTTCGTAAGCTTTACTCTTTAGGAAAAACAAGGCTTTGAAGTAGGGCAGTAGGGGCAGTAAACACTGTCACTAGGGGAAAAAAAAGTTTTACTTGAAAGTGATAATAATGCAAACAGTACCAAATTGTACAAAACGTTAAAGATTGTGGTTCTATTATTATGTTTTTTAAGGACATTATTGTGGACAGATGAACATAGCATGAATGAAAGGCATGTTTAAGTTCTTTTATTACTACATTTAAAGGTAGACAACACAATTTTATATATTTATATTTGATTATTGTTAATTTTAAATTGATTTTTATTTTACAATAATAAAATATTAAATTAAATAAATTTTATTATGATTTTGTAAAATGAATATTTAGTACATTATTCTTATATTTTATTATTATTGTACTAAATATAAAATATATTTATTAAAATAATTTTTTATATATTAAAATTTGAAAAACTTGAATGTATATTTTGAACTTAAAAAAAATATTTGTAAGTGTTTTATCAAATAAAAATTTGATTTAAAACTTAAACAAACTTTTTTTTTGTTTTAAAATATTTTTATGCTTAAAAATAAATAATGGTCAATCTTTTTGAATACAAGATTGATCCTCTCAAGCAATGAATCAATCTTTGTTTCAATGGATTGATTGTTTTTTTTTTAATAGAAAGCTTCCAAGTTTTTGTAAAACAAAATCCAATTGAATCTCTAGCAAAGATGATCGATCATGTATGAGCTTTTATAGATCGAATTGATCGGATCTTTATATGAATTGATCCAGTCTCAAATAAAAAATAGCATAGGCTTGTGAAATTGGCCTATAAGATCAATTATCCATGATAAGAGATTGATCGAGTAATCATCTAGAAAGCAACATTGGTTTTAAAATGCAAGAAAGGATTGACCATCCAGCATAGGAGATTGATCACCTTGATTAGAGGATCGAGTACGTGCTTAAACCAATCAATCTAGTCATGCTTAATTGGCTCCAATGACTAGTTTCTTCAAGCTTCAACAAGTATTTTCTCAATCAAACAATCCATAATAGCTAGTTCCTTGTTTTCTCTATAAATTGATCATTTTAACACATCAAAAAGTTGATGAATTAAGAAAATAAAACAAAATAAGTCATATATCCACTATCTAAATGAAATCAAGAGTTCTTAATGCTTCAAAATTTTTATATTTACTCTTGTATCCAAAAATCATTATTGTTATTCATTTATCATTTTTTTTGTACTTCATTATATTTTTTAAAAAATTAAAAATAAAAATATGTTTGGTAAATTGTTTTTTTATTTTTTAAATTAAAAATTATTGAAAATTATTGAAAACAAAAAAATAATGTTTTTAGTTTTTTTAAAATAATTGGCATCGTTATCACACGAGTATTGTTCACACAATTTACAATTAAACCATTATAATGACATTATAATTATTATATTAATAAAATAATATTTTTATTATATAAAATATTATATTAAAAAATCTATTAATAAATATGATTACATTTATTATATAAATAATTTTATATTAGTAAATATAAAATATTATATTAATAAATAATATTTAGTAATATATTATTTATTAATATAATATATTCATAAATAATATTATATTAATAAATAATATTATATTATTATTAACAAATGGAGTCTAAAAGTTTTAATCACTTTTTCTTACATGTTTTTGTTTTCACATTTTTAAAACAAAAATATTCTATTCAAACATATTTTCAAATTTAATAAACTAAAAATAAAACGAAAATAAAATAAAACAAAACTTTAAAAAACATAAAACATAAAATATACAATAATACAATCCCTAAATAATTAATATTTACTTTAAGTTTTAGTTTAGGAAAACGGCTACTTTTGTTTATATTTTTTACAAAAGGTTATCGTTTAATTGTAGAAAAAGGCATTAGAGATATTGATATTTAAATTTTAATTATTAAAAATAATTATATCAATTAATTAGATTAAATCTCACATTTAAGAAAAAGTATTATATGAAATAATTATTTCATATCAACATATATATATATATGTTATTTTCATTAAAATCATATCACATAATTAAATTATTAACAAAATTAATAATTATATGCCATAATTTAATTAAAGAAAAAAAAAAGCTAAAGTGGAGTAATCAAGGAGCGCATGCCCATTGTTTCTTTAAAAGACAAAACATGAATAATTCAGCTGGGGTTACAAAAACCAGACATAATTCTTCTTCTCTGCTCATCAACGAAATTTGTGTAAAATCAAGACCAGAGCCAAGTTTCATTAATTGGCAGTGTGTGAGAGAGGGAAAGAGAAGGAGAAAACAGATTTATTAATTGTTTTAATACAACATAAATAATTGCAACTGGGTTTCAGTCACCAAATAGTTAAAAACAAAAGGGCAGCTAAAGGAAGATGAAAGTAATAGTACAAAGTAAAATGTTTCCTCCGATCAGATGCATGGCTAGCTAACTAATTTCCCTGCATAAATATTGCATGCTCTTAGCACATTCAAAGAAACATCGTCTGGTTTAATTTTCTGACTCTCAACTTGGGCTTGGGCACTTTGGAGTAGAAGCTTTTGGTGCTGCATGATCAATTAATACGAAAGTTTCAGTTATATAAAATACTAATTTAATTAAGATGAGAAATTTTAAAATAATGGTAGAGTTAAGCATATATGCATAGTGTTATTAATATGAGGAATAATCAAGTACACATTACCTAAGGCTAGGACTGCAGCCTCTGAGCTTTTCATCAAGCGGATACGCTTGCAACATTCTATGAACATCCTGTTAGGATCATAATTAATTAATTAATTAGGTACTATTTCGTAAATATAATCATGACAATAACAACCAAAACCACCAATTTATTCTAATTACTTAGAGGGGGAAAAATTAACAAAAATTCAATATGTAAAGGCTGAGCCATTTCATGAAATAATTTTGGTACACACAATAAGGAGACAGAAATATCCTCGGGTGTATGTTGTATCATGAAGCACAATAAAGAAAAAAAATATATTAAAAGTGTATAACACTTAAACTTACTTCCAAGGAACATCTCCAACCAACATCCAGTCACCGTCTTTATCTTCATAAGTTGGTACATACTCCATTCCTTTCGCCACATCCATGAGCTTGCTTTCCTCCATATTAGAATTACCTAAATCACGATTTCAAGCCCGCAGTTACTTAAGTTAGACTAACTCATATCATTAATTTTTTTTTACATAATTTATTATAACTTAAAGATAAAAAAAAAAATTACAGATGTGGAAATTTGACTCTCGGATAAGCTAGATATTATCTCTAAGATTACTTGCACGAATTAAGTAAATAAAGTTCTAGATTCAATTAATATCATTATTTGTTTAACCTTTGATTAGAGTAGCTGGGCAAAGGCTAACGAGTGCCTCAAAGAAATGCAAGTAAACTCAAATAGGGTTCAATGCAAATGAGAGAGAGGAAAGGATGAATAGCTTAATACTTACGGATAGTGAAGCAAGTAAACAAATTGTCTAAATCTTTCATCAGATCCTGGTAATTGGAGTAATGTTCTAAGTTTACTTTGCGGAGATATGGTGCTCCATCCACGGCCACTTTCACATACAGCTTGGAGCTCTCATTTATAGCCTTCTGTCTATATGATCTCACCGGTGGCCAACCAACAGCTTGTGCCCTTCAATGCCATACACGATATCACACAAAGCAATTAATCATAAACATCATATACTTCTTTTTTTTTTTTTTTTGAGAAATCCTTTTTCTTTAAATTCATGTGGTTAAAAAAAGAAAAAGAAAAAGAAAAAGAGTCGCCAGTTTTATCTTACTTGGTAGCAGGAGGTTTTCCAGCACCGGATTCATTAACATGCTTATCACTATGTCTATGTCCCCATGACGTGTTGCAACACCTCCCAAGGTTAAGATCAAAGGTCTCAATAAACCCACGTTTTGCAGAGCACTTAAGTGCTGGAATAACAGCCGACGATCGTCCCTCCCCTGGCAATCCCAAAGTCAGCTCCGTATCCTCATAACTCATGCTGGTGACGTCACTTTCCGATGACCCTGGTGCTTCTTCCGATGACATATCTCTCTTTAACAGTTGCGCTTTGGATCAGAAAAGAAAAACAAAAAAAGAAAAAACACTCTTTGCATTTGCATTCTACGTGTAAAAAAGCTCAGGGGATCACGGCTTTATACGCAAAAGGAGGAGCCACAGGTACGGGAAGATTGATGATGTAGCCGATGGAGGGAAGAAACGTGGGTAATTTCAACCAATGGGTTTTGGATTGGTGCACGTAGCCACGTAAGCAGCATAGAATTTTGTGCCACCTTGTCGGTTCATTTAGTCAAATCCAGTCTTTCAAAAATGGGAAAACAAGACCAATGAATCTCATTCTTGTGTGCTTGAAATAAGGTTGAAATTTTCGTCCAAAGTGCTTACCAATGAACAGAACATTTCTCCCTGAAATTTGAGACTGTATTGTCCTTTTTGAGTACAATTAATAAATTTATATAACAATAAGAAATGTATGTCATGGAAACAAAATGTATATGTAATATTTTTATTGTTATTTTTTTCTTTTACAGAAACAACTTTATGAATAGCTACAAACTCTACAACTCAGATAATATTTCACATTTAACACAACATATTCATTTTTTTTCTAAAAAAAAAAAACATAGAACATATTCATTAGAATAGAACAACTTTATTTTTCTTTAAAAAAAATGAGAACCCCACATAGAAGCATTACATTTTTCATATATTAAGTAGAACTAAATTTCAGTGAAAACATTAACAATAATTAATATTAAATGTTGAATTGTTGGTAAAAGTTAAATTGCAATGACTTATTAAGACTTCATTTGTTTTATATTTTTGTTATTTATTTTTTATAAAAAATGAAAAACAAAAAATTGAATATAATGTAAAAACAATAAAAAAAAAAACACCAACCAAATAAATTTTTTTTTAAATTTAAATATTATATTAAATTTTTTTAAAATTTAAATATTATATTAAACATTTTTTATAATTTGAAACCACTTTTAATATTACACTTTTTTTTTTAACCTTACAAGCCAATGCAAGAAATGAATCTCCGACAAGCATATGGGCAGTCGCTGAATGTCGGCAACATGTCGCTTCATTATTCATTTAATCTTTTTTTTTGCTTTCTTTTTGTACGAAATTTCGAGTCCTCGCTCTCAATCAAACAGTAAAGCCGGGAGCCGCACGCAGCTTCACCGTCTGAAGTTTTGGGCCGAGGTTGATTCATACAGTAAACAACTAACAAAAAAGATTAATATAAACAAACGGTAAAACAAAGAATCTTATGAGAATTAATTATTTCATGTTCCTAACTATAGCATATATGTTAAATTAATTATAGAATCTTAAAATTCATGAAAGTTGTAAATTACATGCATGCATGTTCCAATTTCTTTTATTCTTTTCGCAAGATGCTATTTTTATATTCCTTAGTTTTCTACTTTATTAGCTGTTAAGACAATTATATATCAAAATATGAACCCCATGCACAATAACTTAAACTACATGTGTTAGTTTTCTGGATGAAAGTAAGAACCTGGTTCATTTTAGATTAATCTTGGATTAATTACAATTGAATTCTTTTTTAGTTTGGTATTATGGGTTTCAAATCCGATCAATCTCAGATGTGATTGCTACTACATTCATATCATTTTCTTCATATTGTTTTAAGTTCAAATTATTTCGAATTTAAATATTTGATCTTTTAATTAATTTAAATCAAATTGAATTTGAATTTTATTTATCTAAATGTTTTTCGAGTTCAGTCAAATTATGACCTCTATGTAAATTAACCACTATTTTAACAAAATATTAAAACATATTCTGTAATTGTTGAGGTTTAAACTGGTTGGAGTATATACTTTTATCATTTTGAAGGAGTCATGCTTGAAGAGTGAATTGTATCATTAACCTTTCGGGAAAATTTTGTGGAAAATGAAGATCAATTGCTTGAAAATGATTTTGATGAAAATCCTACCATTACAGTGTCTAATGTGAAAGCTTCATTTTATGATGGTAAGTTTTATAAATCTGTTAAGGAAATTTCGATTATAAAATTGTTCGCAAATTTTATTAAAAATAATTAATTCGTAATATCATGTGTATGCATATGACCTGAAAACTAATTAAAAGCAATATGATTGGTGCATAGTTTTCTTTTATTATATGTACAATAAATGGTTGACTTAATATATAATATGATAGTGTATGACAATAGTGAATTGATGCATTCAACTTATTATAATTAGGGATTGATGCCAATCATGTGAGATGGAGTTCCATTGTGGCGGGGATTGGGGATTGGACTCTTTTTCATATGCATGTGCATGAACTAAAATAATTAACGTGGAATGGCATTATAAAAGAATTCCATAGTTGGATTGATTGGTATATATTTCTAATCCCTTGATTATTCTTGTTTTTGTCTTACCTTATATCCTTTTATATATATATATATATATATATATATATATATATATATAGAGAGAGAGAGAGAGAGAGAGAGCCAAAGGCTATTCACTTGGTCATACTCTTTTACGGTTTCCCATATGTCAATATGCATGCATTGTTGAGAATACATGCACGTATAATAACAACTAATCGTTAATTAAGTACTTATTTCTCCAAGTCAAATTAAGTATTAAATTTATTTTTTATCTGTTAATAGGATATTAAGTTCATAATTTCATTGACCAGAATTCAATTTTGATAACTTAAACAATTAAAATTAAAGCATAAAGACTTTAAAATGTTAGATATTTAGTGTTGAATCAACTTTTTTTCAAACCAAAATTTTGAATTTGGTGTATTTGCTTCTTATTGTTCTCTGCCTTCTTTCTTCTTTTCATCTGCAAACAACTTTTCAATTTATTTTGATCACAAATGCTTTGTCTCTTCTTTTTTTTTTTTTAACTTTTCTCACCATTTTCTTCTTCAAATTTGACCTGGTTTTTGTTCTCCACAACTTAAAAGTAAAGATTCAAATCTATTTATGAAGATGTGAGAAATCCAGACATAATATTCTTGTTGTCCTTTTTTTTTTTACAAATCACTTCTTCACTTTCATATTATTCTTAATATTTTGATTTAAGCTTTGAATTATTTTCCATTCGGTTTTAAACAAAAAGGTGTACTTTAAAATTTTAAAATCTAGAGAGTACAGTTGAGTCATGTATAAAATTAGTAAATTAGCCACAAATTATTCACTAAAACTATTAAATTTCAGCAGGTAATATCTAACTAATGCTTAATTCAACTAATGTTCATTTAGGCTTTTATCAATGCTTTGCTTTTCTACCTTGGTCATGTTTGTCTTTTTAATATTTTCTTGGATCCTTTTTATGATATACCAACAGATTTCTCTGCTTGTTATGATTATGAATTTCTTGATTCAACACACACAAAAAAACAACGAAAAGATAAGAAAATTATAGGTTGAGATGAAAGTAAACCATCCATTTAATGAAATGCCAAAAATATACATATTCTTTACAAATTAAAGATTGATTAACCTAACGTAGCCAAACTACGGTATATAGGGTACCAACCGACCAGTAAGGCAAAGCATAAGACCAGTTTTCATCCTTACAAAAGTTGCTCCATCTCACCTGGCTTTCAATTTTCAAAAGCAGAAGCATCTTCATAACAAGAGCCAGTTGGCTGGGGAGGCTGGGCTGGTGGGCGGACAAAGATAGAGAGAGAGAGATAGAAAGAATAAAACAAGACCATTTTTTTTTAATCAAGACGAATCAGAAGGAATATATTATACATATATATATATATATATATATATATATATAAAGAAGAAACATATTTAAATCCAAAGAACACAACATAGATTCTACACAAAACATTGTGACACACAGCAATGAGACTATACTGCCCCTCCAGCCACAACTTCGAAACTTGGACTTCTACGCACTCTCCGAGGGAATTTGACCCACATTACCAAAACTTTTGGCATACTTCGGCCTCCATTGGGTCCTCCCTCTCACGATCTCAGACCCATCCTCGAGTCGGAGCAAGTGCTGGCACTCAATTTCATCAAAATTTACCAAGTTCCCCACACCAGAGTCAGAGACAGCAGTTAGTGACTGCAGCACACTGTCCCTCCCACACTCCCTCCTATACTCCAGTGTCATGGCAGAAAGCTCGTGGGTCTCCAAGACCGGCAGTGGAGCACTCTGCGACCATTATTACTTTCCGGTTAAAATGCATGTAACTTCCAAACAAATAAATGGGTTAATTGGTGAAATAAAAGAGAAAAAGTACATCCTAAATCAGATTCCGAGCATTGAATTCCTAAATTGTCGTTTCATATAAGCCTCTTTTACTCAAACTTGGAGGCTATTGGTTCCAAGAAAACTTCTATCCAAATTGGGGCATCGGTAATTGATACCAACCAAGTAAAGATTTTGGCACACAACTCAATTTAGGAATGGTACAGTAAATGCAATTTAAACACTTAAAACACTTGTAAGGAATGGTACAGTAAATACGATTTTGGTTTTAGACCGGAACATAAATGTGATTCAAAAATCGTCACCACTGATTTCTATGCTTTTTTGAAAAAACTTAAAGCCAAGATAAATAGCTAATTCTTGTCAGATTAGAATTTTCTGGTGCCCAAGCAAGTTCTTGCTCCTCATCTCAGGTAAGAATTAAGGTATATGAAATACAATGGTTACATTTTGGTTCAACTGTTATCATGGGAGAAGATTTCAAAAGAAAATCAGTGAAGTCTACCTCAAAGATCCAGCCAATGTACTTCACATTATTGACATGCTGGTTGACATCCAAGTCACTCCATCTAGGCTGCAAATTAGAAATAAACTTTTAATAAGAATGCAACAAATGAATAGATAGACACTTATAAGTGCCCACAACTGAGCACACCAAAGATGAGAGATGGCGGCAGCAGGGACCTACAGCTAAACCTTTACGCACATATTCTGATGTGCTGTCATCAAGTTTCACTAACTTCCGGCTATCCTCAGTCACAACAGGATCAGAATTCATAAAATGCGGTTCTATTTCTCCTCGGACCTCTTCTGGAATTTTAGATAACCTTCTAGTCAGTTTATTCATCATCACCCACACACTGCAGATCACCAAAACCAAAATTAAAACAGAGGGAACCCAGATAACTCACTCCTGAAGCACCTTAAAAAATGTACAAGCAAAAAAGAGAAGTCACTCTGTGTTGTCTGGGAAACCAAAATATCAATTAATGCATCCAATGAAAACATTTTAAATGCGTGCAAAACAACTTTTGAAATATTTTAGAGTCAATAATTTACAATTTTGGCTATCCCCCTTTTTTTCTTGCAAGAAGAACAGAGCCATGGCACAAAACATCATAAAACAATATGAATGAATATGATCCTTTCCTACTAGTGTCAGAAGATCATCTCATCAATTGTTCAAAAGTAATAGTAAAAACGTGCCATAAGCACAAGAAGCAACTTCATAAACAATGCTCTACCTTGAGGCTCTTGTTAAAATTTCACCAGTTTTACTATCACTGACAAGCCAATCCCTTCGCATGCCATTCTTTCCAGAGGCACTGACCCAAGTATCTACTTGAACAACATCACCCCTGCAAGAAAGATATAAAAAAGTCCAATGTTCATAAATATTGAATTTCATAATACTTCTAATACATCCAGAATTACTAATTTTTGTGATGGAAAAAAACCAATGAGGCACAACAAAGAACCATATCAGATTTATTTTAAAAAATAAAAAATTAAGGTACCATTCTTTAGGTATTACATAGGGTCTCTCATTAAACAAAGAAGTATATCAGGTTTATCTTCTTTCTCTTAATCATTTCTGGGGGTTGGCTTCCATTGTTCTCAACTTCAGACCTTAACCTTTTAGCTTAAGTAAGAACATAGATCCACATTTTAAGGGAACAAAATTGAGTACGTGAGATGTGATACAAAGATCATTTCCCTAGTACTGAATATTAACCTACATCATTGAAAATGGCCTTAAGAAACACATCAGTCACAAGAGTCCAGATACAAGCGTTAAACTTGCCCATAGGCTATGTCTGTATCTTCCAAGCAACCAAAAAAAAAAAACATTGGTGGAATTCAAGAACTAAACTAGTTAGTAGCAAAACACATGCCTCAATGACATCACATTGTGAACTGTATCAACATGGCATCATGATGATGCACAAATAAAACCACAGCCACACGACTAAAGCAAAAGTGGGCTATCATGAATTGTTTTATTGCTATAAGAGCAAACCATGAGCAAGAAAGTATGCCTTACCAAGTAGGATAGCGATCAACAACAACTTGCATCCGTGTGACCACCCATATTAGGTTCTTCTTGCACATCTCAGGGGTTGAACCAAAACCATCTCCAAGCAGTCCAGCACTTCTACAATGATTAAGCGCTGTTTCCTGCCAAAAAGAGAAATATCATTAATTAAAAATAAGCTTTTGCAACATATCAACATAAAAAAAAAAAAAAACACAGTAAATATAAAATTTTGTTCCGAACATAAGTTGTTCAAATGTTGTAGCCAAATACTATAACTGAACCTGTAAATGATTCATTAGTGTATCTATGGATGCTGTACGATCAGCACCTATCTCATAAGACCTAATTGAGAAGTTTTGACGGAAAACAAGACCATCCTGAACAATCCTCCCTATGCCAAAAGGATCAATAAGCATGTCAGGTCGCCTCGGCTTCCAATCAAGCATCATCCACTGCTTCTCAGCAGCCAAGAAAATGGTTGTGATAGCAGCAAGAAGCATGCTCCAATCAGGTAACTGATTGATAAACGTCCTGGGAGGAGGGGAACTCACACCATCTTCGTTCTTGAAACCTTCCACTGGAGTTGTCACAACCGTAGCACCATTTATTTTTGGAGGGGCTTGAGCATTTGCCTTGACTTGCAAACTTCCAGAAGAAGCAGATGCTTTCGACTTGATACCTCTAAGGTTAGTAGATCCACATCCAAGCTTCTTGTTTTTAAAGTCAGAGGAGTCCGGAGAAATAGTTACTGGAAAGAATGCGGATGTAGCAGCAGTGGCAACCATGATTTTGAAAATTAAAACAAACTTCTATTATCCGCTGAAATTCCCTCTATTGCAAACTGCAAGCTTTTTAGAAAAGAAGCTGCTGCATGCTCCAACTGTATCATAGATAATAAAGAATCAGAACATTTCCAAAAGACGCGTCAACAAATTTAAATAATCACCAAATCCTCATATTTTGACTCCAATGAAGGTTACGTATTCAATATTTCAAAGCAGGTTCCAGCTTCCCCCCCGCCCCCAACACACAAAATAAAAAAGGAAATTCTAAAATGGTAAAGAATTTCTTTCTATTTTTATAATCTGCAGCATCCTATTAAATTTCCTCCATAATCTAACCAAAGAACGGAAAATATATATATATATATATTTAAAAAAATCTAAGAAAATTCCTCATTTCTAAAAACCTGGAGACGAAAGAGGAGAAAAAAAAGATTTACTAGATGCTAAAAAGAAACAATTATGTTCTAACTTCTAAAAAAACACAGTAATTTAACAGAGCGTGTCACTGCAAATATGCCACAAAAACTCGTAATCAGCGACGAGGAAAATATGCTGCACAATCGATAAAAACAAAAACACCAAAGCAGATCTAACCCGTAAGACATTTTAAACAACAAAAAGCCAAAAAAAATTTAAAAAGGGACAGAGAAAATAGCAAGCAATTCATGAACAAGTATCAGCTTTCATATCCATTGCAGTACAGAACGGTACATTCTCTCAAACATCTTTTCTGTTCCCCATTACGTCCCTCCATTTCATGAGAAAATTACAACAAACACCACAAAACACAGAAATGGCGACGAGAAAATGAACAATCGAAAAAATAAACCAATTTGAGCTACATTTGATTGTTGAGAAAATGAGAGAAAATAGTAGATCTCATATGGCCGCCAGCATCAATGAAAACTTTTTAAGAAAACAACACAACATAAAACAAAGCGACATCCAATTTTTTTTCCTTTCCTTTCTCGGAAACCAACCAGAGCAACAACATTTCAACCAGGAAACGCAGATCAAACAGAAAACGAGAGAATCAGTTTCCACGTCCGTACCTCAAAAAAAAAAAAACGAATCAATGAGGGAAAATTTTCTCGAGAAAACGCAAACAGGAGAAACTATTGCGTTAATTAGGATCTGCAAATCCTTCTCGTTACTCCTAGCGCTTGCGATCTAGCACTCTTTTTCCTTCGTCTCTTCTTCGCATTCCTCCCTCTTTCTCTGTCTTTTCGAAGAATTTTATAAAGAAATAAAGAAAAAAAAAAAGGAAAAAAGAGGTTTTCTTTTCTTCTTTTAGTTAGAGAGAGAAATATGATTTAGGGCCAGCGATTTCCGTGGTAGGGAATTGGAGTCCAGGGACCCCTTTTATAGTGCACAACACGGCATCTGCCCCTCCCGCCTCTCGCCCTCTTTTCTAAATTTCCAAATTTACCAACATTATTTTCTCTTATTTACTCTGCTGCCCTTGCCCCTATTTATGTTTGTTTCCGTCATTAAATTTATTGCTGACAAAAATTGCTGGCGAATGAAAGTAGTAGTAACTAGTTAGAGGATTCTATTTTAACTAGATTTTGACTTTGACTTGATTTTATTTGGGACTTTATTTAACTTGGGTTAATTATTTTTTCGGTGGGGCTCCTTTATTCGTTGTCCTTTTTTGGGTTGAAAGAATTGGCCTCTTCATTTTATTATCAATTTTGAGGGTTTTATTTATCCCAAAAAAATTTGGGGGATTTTTTTTATCATCTTATAAAATAGTTATATTTTGGTTTATTTTTACTATTGATTGTTTCTTTTATTTTATTGATGGTCCGGTAAGTTATTATTAAAACTTAAAATATTTATTGATATAGTCTATTATTTAAAGGACATAAATTTATATAAAAATATAATCGATTTAATTTAAATTCAATATAATATTAAATTTGAATTTGAATTTAATTTAAAATTTAAGGCTTAAATTTTAATTTAAATTTGATTAAATTTTATTTAGCTTAAATTCAATTCGAGATAAAAATTAAATTATTTAAATTCATTCGATTAAATTCGATTAACATATAAAAATAAATTTAATTTTTTTATTCGATAAAAATTTGATTATTTATATTGAAGTTCGAATTTGAATTCGAATTTAAAATATTTTATTAATTAAAATATATTAAAATATAAAAATTTGATTAAATTTATGAATTATAAAAATTAAATATAAAAATATTTAAAATTTAATTCGATCAATAAATCAAATTATTTACATTTGACTCAATAAAATAAAATCAAATTTAAATTTTATTTAAATTAAATTAAAATAATTTATAAATATGGATCTATCATTTATATTCTTTTGTTTCCGAGAGGTTAGCGGAAAAAGTCTATAAATTTGTTGACTTATCATAAGCATGACGATTTGGGGCGTCAGAAATAATATTTTGAGAAGTACAAGCCGTTTCATAGCTCAGGGGGCATGCTTTTTCAAAAAATTGTGAAATTTTTGTTATAGATATATATTTTTTTAATAATTTTAAATTTAGATAAAAAATTGGTTAGGCTCCTACAAAACTAAATTTATTATATTCATATATATATATATATATATATATTTTGGTTGTCAAAGGGAGCATAGCCCTATATCAAGAGGGAGAGGGGACTGAGGTCGAACCCCGATTGTATGTTTCTTAAGGTTTGCTTGACCACTATAACAATAAGTTGAAGACTTTTTTTTTTTTATTTTACATATTTATATTGGATATATAATAATAAAATTATTTGTACTTAAATGTTAAATTTTTTTAAATTGGATTTACTTATTATAAATGATTTTAATTTAAATTGAAAAAGTCTATAAACACTATATTTTCTCAAATATATAAATTTAAGTTTAATATGTATTCAAATATATAAATTTATTGATATAATCTATTATTTAAAGACATAAATTTATGAAAAAATATAATCAATTGAATTTGAGTGATATAGTGTTAAATATAAATATAAATTTAATTTAAAATTTAAGGTTTAAAATTTAATTTAAATTTGATTAAGTTTTATTTAACTCAAATTAAATTATTTAATTTCATTCGATTAAGTTTGATTAATATGTAAAAATAAATTTAATTCTTTTATTCGATAAAAATTTAATTATTTATACTGAAGTTCGAATTTAAACTCGAATTTAAAATATTTTATTAATTAAAATAATAAAAATATATAAAAATATAAAAATTTAATTAAACTCATAAATTATAAAAATTAAATATAAAAATATTTAAAATTTAATTCGATCAATAAATTAAATTATTTAAATTTGACTCAATAAAATTAAATAAATTTAAATTTTATTTAAATTAAATTAAAATAATTTACAAATATCAATATATCATTTATATTCTTTCCGAGAGGTCAGTGGAAAAAGTCTATAAATTTGTTGACTTATCGTGAGCATGACGATTTGGGGCGTCAGAACTAATATTTTGAGAAGTACAAGCCGTTTCATAGCTCAGGGGGCATGCTTTTTCAAAAAATTGTGAAATTTTTGTTATAGATATATATATATATATATATATATATTTTTAATAATTTTAAATTTAGATAAAAAATTGGTTAGGCTCCTACAAAATTAAATTTATTATATTCATATATATTATTTTATATATATATATTTTATTTTTTTTTTGTCAAAGGGAGCAGGGAGAGGGGATTGGGGTCGAATCCCAATTGTATGTCTTTTTAAGACTTGTTTGACCATTAAGATAATAAGTTAAAGACTATTATTCTCTATTTTACATACCTATATTGGATATATAATAATAAAATTATTTGTACTTAAATGTTAAATTTTTTTAAATTAGATTTACTTATTATAAATGATTTTAATTTAAATTGAAAAAGTTTATCAACACTATATTTTCTCAAATATATAAAATTAAGTTTAATATGTATTCAAATATTGTAATAATTAAAATTGAATTGATAAATTTTCAATTGTGATAATTTTTTCAACTAAACTTTTTTCTTATTATATATCATGCATGCTAATTTTCTTCAAAAAAAAAGTTTCATGCCAAAATAATTCAAATGATTAACATAAGTACTTTTCATTTTTCATAAAGTAATAATATAATATAAAAATTAAAAGGTTTTAATTTATTGTATCAAAAGCTTCTGCTCTATTATTATAAAAATATAATTTTTTTATTTTAATAATTAAAATATTAAATATGATAAGATAATATGTTAATAATGTTAAAATATATAATAGTTTTATTTTTTAAAAAAATATTGTTAGTGATATATAAATATAAATCGTAAACATGTAGTTTTATATATTCATTTTGTTATACATATATTAATATATTTATAATTGTAAGTTTTGTTGTTATATATTACTTAAAAAAAATTATTATTAATAAATTTGATATATTTTAATAAAAAATTATTATTATAAAATATTACTTCAACTTTTTAAAAATTAAACGTTAAGATCCGTCACCGAACTCAAATCAACAATATATAAGAGAGAAAAAAAGGAAGAAAGGGAAAAAGAAGTTGAAAGAATTAGTAGGCTAGAGAATTAGTATTACATTCAGAATATATCATCTGCAGCCTAATCTTATTTTTGATACTTTATATGTGTTGATGTGGCAAGATGACTTACTGGTGTCAATCAACTATTGGACTAGTTAAATTCATTGCCTTCTTGGCAGTCATCAGGTGCTGACTTGGAGATTAAGACTGATTGTGATAATAAATTTAATAGTCAAGATTTTGACATGACTGTTAAGTATAGTAATATTAAATTTTAAATTTTAATGATTAACATTTTAATTTTCTTAAGACTAATTTAGCATCACTGTTGAGGTTTAAAAAACTTAGATTAAAAAAATATGTTTAAAAGTGTAGTTAGAAATTTTAAATATTTAGAATTGTGGTAAAAAAATTTTGTGAGTAATTGAAATGTATACAAAATTATATATAAAATAATAAAAATTTATAAATATTGGATAATAAAATAAATTTTTTTATCTCAAACACACATTTTCACTGCAAACTACATATTGAGGAGCTATTATTTAGGTTAGAAAATCAAGCTTTGAAACTAAAAACTATTTTTTTATTATTATTATTTAACATTACGATTGGATCAAAATCAACTTTTAAAAGCAAAAATTACTTTCAATAGCAATGCTAAACAAGGCCTTAAACTTGAATATCAAAAACTAAACTTTACCTATTAGCTTTGTAAAATGGTCCATAAGACCATTACTTTTATTAATTGATGCTATCATTTTAAACAAATTAAAGCATATGAAATTCGACTTTAACCTATAAATAATTAGGGTCACCTATTCAAATTGAATGGGAAAATGATTGAAGTTAAAATTTTCTAGATTAACTATTCATTTTTATATCTATTAAAAAATATTTATTTTATTTGAGACAAATTAAGAAAAATATTTTAATATTTTAATATTAGAATTTCAAATAATTTCAAAATTTTATTAAATAATATGGAATACGGTGGCCAAAAATAAATACTAATATGGAGGCGATCTACATATTCTAAAAGAATGTTAGCCCATCATTTATAGCCTAGTAGTTAATTACCTACTCCTAATTATATAAAGATGGGCATTGGCCAAAAAATAATTATATAAAGATGGGCAATAAAGTTCTCTTCCTTAATTTTAAAACAAGCTTAACTATGGATTTATGACTCATTAGCTTGGAATTATGATCGAAATAAGCCCTAGGTTTTCTTTTCCAACTTATCTCCATGCTTTTTAAATACTAATAACCCATAAGCTAGGATGGCACTAGCTCATCTTTTTTATGCTATGTTATTTGTAGGATAAAGACTTTAATTATATATTTTATGGGGTGTTTGTTTTGTTGATTTTGAGATTCTTTCTAAGAATTTAATTTTTCTTAACTTGATTCTTTTGGTTCATGAAATGCAATTTCTCGAATGTTTCTAAGATTATCAACAATGTTAAGAAGAGAGAAAATAGGCTTGAATAAAAAACTTTACTCTTTTTAAGATTTTCTTAGATTCCAAACAAAATGTAAGATTTATTCCACTTTTACTCTCGATAATTAGTATTTAGTATCCATTTTACCCTTTAATATTATAAAAATTACATAATAAACCAAAGCTCAATCTCACATATGTAAAGACATTGAAGTCTCTACATTTAACATCTAACATCACATATGGAAAAAATATCATTTTATAAAAATAGAAATTAGTTTAGTTATTTTAGTTTATTTCTTAATTGAGCTTTGATTTTATTTATTAAATATATAATAATAAAAATTATTTATGTATGTATTTTATGT